TTTTTCACTATATTCAGTCCTTCCTTTTCTACTTTATTCAGTATTTTTTTTTTAATTATTTTCAGCCATTTTTCTTATAAAAAACTAAAAAATCGAATAAATAAGAATGCAGCTTTGCATACTATGAATGTAAAATTCACCAAAAGAAAAGTAGAAGCCCTGAAATCTAAAAGAAACCCTAAAGTTAGAATAAAATCATATGATAAAATTGTAAATCGAAAAAAAAACTTTTCATACTATAATGGAAAAAATCCCCTGAAAAATAACTGAAAATTCCTAAAATCAATAAAAAGTCATAATTTGAACGAACACTAAAAATCGTCAACAATCCACAAAGCAGGGTAAAAAATCACTGCACGCTCAAATTTAACACCGTTAAAAGTGTGACCTTTAAAAATAGGGAGTGTTTGATATTATCAATATCTCAGGTGGTAAATGGTATATTTCACGTAGTAAGGGGATGCAAAATGAATTTTACGCTAAATCAAATTATGGACACGCACCCACCTGTATCAAGAGAAGAGGATACGTGGATATTCCGAGGGAATAATCGACGGCCGGGTTGAGGCTTAAGTCTGGGCGGGGGGCGAAGCCCCCCAAATCGTCAATCTCGCCATCGCACTCTGCCTCCACGAACAGGGCCCCCTCGCCGGTGCAGTTGATCGAGATGCGGCCGTCTTCATCTCTGGTCAGCCTCCCGGCGATAGGGTAGTATTCAACCAGGACGCGGCTGAGCGCCGCCATGAGCACCGCCGGGTCGAAGAAGTCGGCGGCGCCGTTGAAGCGGTAGAAGTAGACGCTGCGGGTGTGGTAAGTGGTGGCCGTAACCAAGTCCACGTTCGACAGCCACAGCTTGCCGCTCGGCGTCGCTGCATTTGGTGCCACCATTGTTGACTTCTTCACCGTGATCTTCATATGGTTAACTTTTTCTGCTGGAAAAAAACAACTAAGGTTTTTAGAGAGAGAAACTAGAGTTTTTTTTTTTTTTTTTTTTGATAATTGAGAAACTAGAGTTATAGATACACATACATGCATGAAATATGTATATTATTATATATACACGGTTTTCAATAAAGGGCTTCAATAAAATAGCGATTACTTTAATTTAAAAAAAATCAAAAAATCTAACACCCACTACATCTTTTTTCAATCATACGTTTCCCTTAGTTAATTTATTGAGCTATATTATTTAATGAGGTTACTATATTATCAAAGTATTTATTGAAGATTATATTGATTATATTCATAACTGATGATGTTAATTACTTAGATCACCGGAGGTAGTGTAGAAAATGAACTGGGAGAGCAAAGCGGATCAGTAGCTTGACAACTTGATGATCTTGAGGTATCTGCGATCATAGAATACGTGAACTAGGCCGAGGGTTGATCCGGCGGAAACCCCTCCAACGCTCAAGTCAGACGTGCTGATAGTAGAAATAGTCCAGAGAATACATTTAATAGTATTGCTCAGATAATAGGACGTACCTTATGGAATGAGTTCAAATGTGTATTTATAGCTTAGTTGAGATTGTCGGGCTCAAACCTTGTTTGAAGGTGATTGGGCATCGGTGATAGTAGTCTTCGATATTGGGCTCGTGGCCCATTAGGTAAATAATTTGTAGGCCCATTGGGTTGGGCCAATTAGGCATATTAATAACTGTACAGCAGTACAGGTATTCGACCCAGTGTATATTTATTGTATAGTTGCAATGAAAAAGCATGGAGGTAAATGAATTGAATCGACTCCATATATATGTATATATATATATATATATATATATATATATTTAATTTAAACCTTTATCGAGGCTTATAATTATATTTTAAATTGATTGAAAACACATAAAATCTAGTCGAAGTGAAACGAGCTTTAACACAATTCCATGTCTGTGAAATAGCAGCCCTACTGCACTCAAACCAAAAAAAAAAAGAAATAGCAGCCCTACTTGTGGAACATGACAATAAATAATGTATACTACTTTTTAATTATAAAAAGATGTGCAATTTGAAATATATGAGAAATTTTAGCTGGATTTGTTGGACTTTTCAGCTTCATGATGCTAATTGAGCGGTACTTAGGATTTGTACATTAATCTATTTCATATTGTTCATGCTAACCACAATTAAACTTCTATAAATTATTAAAGTCGAGCATGATTATTAAATCGTAAATCAAATAAAAATTGATTTTGTCAAAATTGTAAATCATAACAATCATATATAATTAATATGTATGAAAAAAAAAAAACTTTAAACGATAGATATCATGAAACACCATATATAATTAATAACATTTTTAATGTGTGTTGAATTTTGTAAACCACAAATATTATAAAATGTAGGGAGTGTAATGGTATGCCCATATATTGGATTAAATTGTAGTTAATATCATGGGAAACTCAACAAGGACTATTCATGCATGATTCATATCACCTACCTTCATGTTTTTTGACAAAACAATCCACAGTCACAAATCACAATGTAGATGTATATTATACTGAATACTATATGCTACGAGTTTGGCCTAAAAAATATTTATACATGATATACAAAGAGCTCGGTGAATAAAGTGTTGGCGATGGAGATCGACAGTGTCGTTTCTGAGAAATTTGGTGCCTTAGAAGAGTTTTAAGAATTTGTAAAAATGGGTCCGCTATTTGTGTTGTATAATATACACATTAATTCATTCTAACGAGAACAACTGAATAATTCTTATTTGATTAACAGTTAAAATTTTTGGAGAAAATATAACTAAAATATTGACGAAGTTAATGTAAATCAAAAGTTTACGAGGTTTGGAGCAGTCTTTCAAGTTTTTTTGAAAATGGTCATAGAAATGTCATTAAACAAGTAAATATATATAATTTTTGTTTACATATAATAAAATAAAATATAGTATGTTTCAACTTGCCGAAACTCTTTGAAATTAGAAATAGACACTGTAGAAAAACTGCAAGATTGCTAGAAAAAAATTTAAAATCTTGAAATAGATAAAAATTTGATAGAAGAACTCAACATCTATCTTATTATAACTGATAGAAGACATTTCATTCACATCAAATGAAAGAAGAATAAGAATAAAAAATTCCAACAAATGTTTAAGCTATACAAAATAATATAATTATGGTTATTTAAATGGTTGAAATATTTATATATTTCAAAATATCAATTAATACTATGACTAGTATATATAAAGAGTACTACAAAACATTATTTGGGGGCCTGTCTTTTTTTTTCTAAAAGATTGAGAGTTCGAAACAACCGTCTCTTTCGCATATAGTCAGAATCGACCATAAATGAAGATCGGATTCGGATTCCTAGACGTCGCTCTTCTTACGCCACCGAAACAGAGTTGTGATAACAACCCAAGCCACGTACAATCGTACGTAATTGAAGTATATAGTATTAACTTTGGAAATTTGTGCAAATATTAAAAAATAAAAAAATTGGGAATAGATCTGAAAACAAGGCCTCAATTAAGTCGTTACGATGAATACATTATATAATTTCAGCTAGTGTGGTATCGACTACGTCATTCTAATAATTGATGTTCGAATTCAATTGGGAGATTATAATATCTATATAAAAATCCAATGGTCAAGAAAATTCCAAACAAAGTCTAATAAAAAGTTTCTGATTTTATGTTAATTATATTGTGACCTTTGATTTGATTGCATTTTTTTATTATATTGTGATTGTACACTTACTTCAAACCACCTACCCTCTAATTGGTTAGGGAATAAAATTAAAAATAAATAAATAAAACCACCTACCATTCTCCTTCACTTCCCCGTGGGTTGGAGATGGATATATGACGGTTTATTTGATGTTATACCCGATGAAATTTATCAGTGATTGTTAATTGTCGATCAACATATAGTCATATGCATACACCCATGTATATGTATATGTATATGTGTTTTAATGCGTGATTATTTAACTATATCGATAGTTAAAAATTACCTAATGTGTATGATTCGATGTAGCATTTCCATAATCCTATATTCACCGATAAGCTAAGATGAAAATCTTTGGACTCGGAATGAAAAAAAAACAATAATATCCTTGAAATTAATTAAAGTTATGTCCGTATAGGTAGACTTCCCGTTGATTTAGTTAAAATAATAGCTTTTGGTAATAATGGAAAAAATGGAAATGCGTTTCAAATATAGACAAATGGAAATGCGTTTCAAATAAATACTTGAAATTGTCTACGCTTAAAAGAATCTTAAATCTTGTGTCTCTTTTCCACTGTTACAGGTGTTTTAATCTTTTTTTAGATGCTAATTCCATATGAAAATAAATTTATGTGCCATGAATGTAATTTGCAAAATGATAATTCCTTAGAGAACTTGTAGATTGTATATAATTTGTAGATAAAAATATGTAATTTAGGATAAATATATAAATTAAATGCTATAATATTTTTAGGGATTATGGTTATACCTCTATATTTTTTATATTTACACGTTTTCCCGTGTTTACATTGTCCACATACATGCATGCACTCACATGATAATTAACAAGTGTACTATCAAATATATATTGATATTGCTCTAATTTAAGAGAAATATAAGTACTCACCATTGATTTATAAATACATTTGACTTATATATTACTGTCATAAGATTAATCACGATAAGATAAAATAATTTGATGAAAATTCAATTATATTATATAAAAAAATCAATAAAAATAATCTCATGCTAATCCCTGAAAATTTATTTGATTTATCAAATAACCAAAAAAAAAAAAATATCAATTCAATTTACTTAATTTATCATGATTAATCTCTCCGCCCTATCAACTTCCTAATCAATTTAAGATACATTGCATTGTTTTAACTTCGAGATTTACATAAAAATCCGTTACGCAGGAACCGATATTAGAACATTTGTTGATTGCAACGAGCCTTCGATATGAAAACAAATGTGGCTCGGGTCTAAGACGAGTTTATATATATTTTTTACGAATAATTAAAATTAAAATCCAAATTATTTTTTGAAAAATTAAAATCCGATCGGACATCAAAAGTTTCGATGATTTCATATATAACTTCGATTCCGATCAAAACATTCTCAAAATACAAAATGTACTTGAAAAGGAGAAACCAAAGACAAGAATCATAGAAGCAAAAAGAAGCTATTTAAAACATTTTCAAGAGCCAAACCTATCTTTCTACATAGAAACAAAAATTAACAAAAATCGACGAAACAATCCCGATTTAGATTTTTCATCTCGCAACTAAATTCAGTACCCGAAAAGGTTTTTTTTTATTTTTTTTTCTTCAAATCAACACCTAAAATTCACAATTATGTTCTGCTATGTTTTACTATGCTAAGAAATTTTATATCCTGTCTATCAGTTTATACCTAAACCATGCATCACGCCTGCATACGTCTCGATCGATTCTTGTAAGCGCGTGTCCCTCAACGTTCGAAACACGGAAGAAGTGAGCAGACTATCCGAACCCGCCTGATGACTAGTCCCAACTCTGTCGACTTTCAAAGTACGAGCAACCTTGTTCAATCCACCGTACAACTCCACGAACTGGATCATGTGTTTGATATCGTATATAACCGGAAAGTACAATTTGATAAATTTGAAGAATTCTTCTCGAGTTTCCGGTAATTCCCGGCCGGTCAAAAGCTTCAGCAAGTACCCGAAATCATGGCCACATTGAAACGTCACCCAATAAACACTCTCATTCAAAACAACACCCGACGACATCAAAAGCTCCGCGAATCGAGTTGCGTCGACGCCCTCCGCTACATGTTTCTCAAAATCGATGCCGCAGCCGCGCAGTAGATGGATGGAATCGGAGTTGTATATATCCTCCGAGGGGTTAAAATCTCGGAAATTGAACTGCCACACGATGAATAGGCCGGTCTCGCCGCAAGTGGGGAGATCCCCCTTTTCATTGGTGAGCGTTAGCCCTAATTGGATCAGCTTCATCGTGTTTACGTTCTCCTTCAGGCATTGGTAGTTCTCTTCGTTGGTGTTCGGGAAAATGCGCAGGGGTTTCAGGATTACCCCTGGAAACTCCGTGTCCATCGCAACGCAATAGTAATCGTCGATGATTGAACGAATTATTTCGAATTCTTTATCCAAGTTTTCTGCCCAAACCTCCCGAAAGTCGATTGAATCGGCTGGGGGCTGAAGATACATCTTCGATGAACAAATTCAGGGCAATTTTTGACAAAATAGAGAGTAATTCAAATTTTCTGATAAACCCTGATGAAAAAAAATCAGACGAATCACAAATTTTCTGATAAACCCTGATGAATAATTCAAATTACGAACTGTAGAAGCGCCCTCGAAACGAATCAGTTAATTCTGCGTGAAGAGATTCCAGAAATGAAATGATCAATCGGCCCCAAAATCATAACAAAAACCCTAATTATATAAAATCGGGTGAATCAACTAAAACCCTTGTGGTAATCAAGTCAAGATACACCAATTCGGATAGGAAAAATTACCTTGAAATTAAGACGTGTTCAGTGAAGGCGATGCTGCGTTCGAACACTTTGATTCCACTCAGAAACAGATCAAGATTTAACGAACGAGGGCTGAAGAAATGAGCGGCGTCTTTTTTTTTTTTTTTTTTTAATTCTGTTTTTTTTTTTTTTTTTGAACTTTTGCCGTTTTCTTGTTCTAGCACAATTTATATATGCAAGGGGAGGGAGGGAGTTTCTAAATCCTAGAGAGAGAGAGGAATTTCTAAATCCTAGAGAGAGAGAGGGGGGAATATTTCTTATTTTGCAATTTCAAATAATTACAGCAGAATCTTCATAAATTAATAATTTTCGATAGTAATTTTCTTTGGTCTTGATTCGGTGAAAATGTACTAAATTATTAGTTCAATAAATATATCGCTAAATTAATAGAATTTTGTCAGTCCCAACTATAATAATTTACAGATGTTGAACTGTATTAAATAATTTCATGTAAATTTGAAAATTGGATAAAATTGATTGGACTTTTAATCATTTTATAGTTTTTATACTTCAAATATTTTTTCAAGTAGCTCGGAGTTTGAAACAATAGTGAGATTTTTTATACTCCACTCATTTTGTAAGTGTAATGTGATAAATACATATAAAAATTAAAAAATCTAAGAAATATTCATTATATTATTAAAAGCTCAAATTTACATTGTACATTAGGTGGAGGGAGGGAGTAAGTAGCAATCTTAAACATTCATTTAAAAATTGCGTGTTTATTTAATAAGTGACATATTTGAATGAATTTTGACAATATTAATTAGTAGCTCCCCTAGCGGCTAGCTATACTGAAAAACCGCCATGGAATCCCATGTAATTAAATATTTCAAAAATAGTCGTATTTGAATCAGAAAAAAATGCATTTTATCTCAAGCACAACAGTTCGATGAGTACACCTTACATGCGTAGCTCACGAATCAAGTGATCTTATGGCTATTCCACGTCGTTTAGACTCCCAAATTTTTATTTTGCCATTTTAGGAATATTCTTGAAAAAACAAAGGATTAATTCGACGTAAGTAATTTTGTCATACGTCAACTCTATCCCACGCCGTTTAGAACCCATACGTCCATTTTTGCATTTTAGGAAATTCTAGAAATACGTATCAACACATTTAGCAAACTCGATATTGATTTCATAAGTTGGATTGTTCCGAAAATTACAAGATCTACTAGAATTAGGGCTTAAGGGCTCCACACTTCCGCAATTTTGTTTCAAAAAAAACTTCCTATTCCAAAAATTTTAAATTTCTATTTTTTTTTTTTTTTTTGTTTTAATATTTTGGATCAAAATTGTTTTAATTATGATCCGTCCGATTTGGAACCAAATGCTAATATTTTTATTTATTTATTTATAAATTTATTCCCCGGTAATTATCAAATGAAATCAGAGGGTTGGGCTCGCTCATATGTGGGCCAATCAATTAGATCTAGGGTTTTGGGCTTTTAGGTTTAATTTTTTTCTTTCAAGGTATAAAAATGGCGCAACTTCGTTTACAGAGAACCCATTTTGCAGTTGCTGGCAGCCAAGTTCAGTGCTTCATCACTCCCAAACGCTTTATACGGCAGGTGTGTTTCTTCTTCTCTTCCGTAATAGTATTTCTTCAATTTTAAATTTTCATTTTTGAGGTAATTTCTTCTGTTTATTCCGCGAAAATATTTTTGAAATCGATCGAAACTAAACCCCGCACTCTACAATCCAGAGGAAGAAAGATGATGCATTTTAAAAAAAAAAAAATTAAATTTTTAATTTTAATTTGTGAAATTCGAATCCGAAATATGTTTATTGTCATTACGTTTATTCGTTGGTTTTTCTTCTTCAGAATTATGCATTCTTAATAGTGTATATTTACTAAATATATTGTTGAATTATGCTTATTTGATGGTTTGAATTCTGGCAGGTGTAAATTGCAGGAGTTGCCTACCAGGAAGACAAAATGTCTGGGTATGTAACACTCTTGGTTACTTATGAAAATGCACTTCAATTCAATTCAAAATTGATAATGTATTTGTTCCTGATCAGTTCTTTCATGCTTTGTCGTTATCGAGAAAAAAAGTATATAGGATCATTGCATCTGAGTTCTGTTTATGTACTCGTAGAGGTCGTAAAAAAATACAAGTTTGTCGATTTTTTTTCTTTTTCTATTAAGAGCAGAATACAGATGGTTTGAACTAATGTACCACTCTTAGTTAATAATGAAATTGAACCTTAAAATCAATTCTAAATTGATATTGCCGCCGTTCGGATCAGTTCTTCAATGCCTTTTGCCATTCTTGATAGAAAAAAGAGCATATTTGATCATTGTATCTGAATTGTATCTGAATTTTGTTTATACATGCAACTATCATAAGGATACAAGTGTCTGATCACGAATACATTCCTAGAAAACTTATTCCCACTAGGAATGTAAAACTGTTGCAAATTCTTGATTACGAATACTGTTTTCAGTTGTCCGATCAAAGAGTTGCTTATAAAGGAACTTATGTTAACTATAAGATAGAGCATGCAAACAATCTTGTTATATATTGGCTCGTGTTGTGGTTCAGTCTTATATTTTTTATCATAAATTGGGTCACTAATAATAATTTAATATTGATAAATTCGTTTCAGTGAAGAGCCCGTCGTTGTTGTGGAGACACCTGCTCCAGCCCCAGCTCTGGGTGAGCCAATGGATATCATGACTGCATTGCAGCTCGTGATCAAGAAGTCTTTAGCCCATGGAGGCCTCGTTAAAGGCCTTCACGCCGCTGCAAAGTCGATCGAAAAGCATGCCGCTCAGCTCTGTGTAATGGCTGAGGACTGCAACCAACCAGACTACATTAAATTGGTCAAAGCGCTTTGTGCCGAACACAATGTCAACCTAATTACTGTTCCTAGTGCCAAGACCCTCGGCGAATGGGCTGGTGTAAGTACACATTGTATAGACTATTTTTTTTTCGTTTTACTGCATTATTATATTGATGTTGTTGGAGTTCTTGATTGCTATGTTGATTTATTTCTCGTGTTGATTTGTTGCTTTTCAACAGATGTGCAAGATTGATTCGGAAGGGAAGGCTCGGAAGGTTGTTGGAGCCTCGTGTATCGTTGTGAAGGTAACTCTATATACTATAGTGTAGTTGAATATGTTGTTTTGATCAATATTGATAAGAGTTATCTCTCGCTTAATTAGATTATAATCTTGATTAATTTGATTGTGATGTGGAATTTTCTCGTGTAGGATTACGGCGAGGAGAGCGAAGGTCTCCACATCGTTCAAGAGTATGTCAAGACTCACTGAAAGAGAAACTAAGCTGTGAAGATGTATTCTTTAGAATTTGTTACGACTTTTTAGACGAGAGTTAAGACAGAAAACTAGTATGTTCTTTGGAAATTTTTTTTTCAAGTCCAATGTATTATTTGCTCATGAAATTTATGGGCAGTTTTTCTAGACTATGTTTTATATCATTAAAGTTTTGATCAGTATCCAGTTCTATCTTATGGTACTGTATATAATATATATGTATCTATATTTTTTCTTACTTTAAAATTTAGTTACAATTACACTTAACATAAGGTAATGACATTTACATTCAATAAATATTAAGGGTTAGCTACAATGTCTTTGATTTGTTTGATAAAAGTTAAAATCTTTAGCACCTTCTTCAGTTTCTGTAGCTGGGATGTATAAAAATGATAAATAATTTTATGGACCGTATTTCGTGTGTAACAACTAATAATTTTATATAGAGTTCAAAGATGAATCATCAACTAAAATCTGGATGAAAAGAACATAATCAAAGCTGTCGGTCTTGGAAATATATGATTGCACCTATCAAATTACATATGAATAATAGTTCCAAAATTGTTTAAAACCCTTCAAATCTTCGTATAGACGAACTAAATCCTCGGAATAAAACTACATTGGTTTGAAAAATGACAAGGTAAGAAACAATGAAAACTAATAATGAGAAGAGCTCCCAAATGTTAGTTGTGATCACCGTATTATGTTTTCGGTCGACTTCATTTACTCTCAGCAACGGGCAGGTACACACCCTCAGCTGCCAACCACACGTTGTCTGCTCGTTTTTCTGCAACCCCACAAACCTGCAAGAAAAATCAACAGTTTTTTTTAACTGAAAGATGTGCTAATAAAACTGATAAATATTCGATCAAGTGATTTGGTTTTGGAAACATTTTTTTACGCCGACCAAACAAAGAAAGTATACACCTAGCATTTTCACAATTGCACTCGTTTTTCATCGATCAACTCTTAGCATAACTGTTATCTGGTTCTTACCTCTTGTTGACCGCCAGCTATACGGGTATATTTCTTGTCATGACTGTGAAGATAGCCGTTAGTGTCTACGTGATGAAGCCGGACCCTCTGATCTTGCCTCCATGTCTTTCCATTTCCCTCGATTTCAAGTCTGAAGCACAATAAAGATTTTGAAATATGATGGAAGATTTGGAATGGCATTATCAGATAATACTTAATCGAAGAAGCTCTCACCTCCAATAATCCCCCGTGTCAGACTGGCCATCACCGCCATAGCAACTCACCTGCCCATTAAGTAGTATATGAAATCACATTTATATTTACATTGAGGCAGTATTTAAATAATACAGTTTAAAATTTTTAGTGTTATCTGCTTTTTTGGGGATCAATTTACATTATTTATCACGATTGAGTTACACAAACGTGTCTGCTGGTTAAAGAATCATAATCAATAAGGTTTTTGACTACAATGATTGAAGATGCTACAAAGTAAGATGACAAGCAGAATGAATTGCAAGGATATCTAAAAAATGCAGCTTTATATTTAGTCGTATATAGGCAATTTATGGCAGAAAATGTGGTATATAAACATGACTTAACAAGAAAAATGACTTGTTTACCATCTACTACAAAATTGCATCCTGTCAAAAGAATAAGACCAATTTAACAAGGCAAAAAGGAAAAAAAAATGCGTTTCCCAGATGCACAACTATTCGTTCAAAAGCTAACCATATAGGACAGAATAAACCAAATACTACCCCTGCTTAGAACCATTATCGAGTTACTCGAATCTGTAACTTCGATAAAATTGGAATATTCCCATGCATTCTGTGACAAATGTATTGTTAAACAAACTTAAATTGTCTCGGATAACAAGATTTCTACAAAAGAGGCAAGGGATAACAGGAAAATGAATTAAGAAGCACACAATATGCACCAAGACCAGTAAATACATTCCAAACTCACGCGAGATAATGATGGAAAAATCAAAAATCTTTTATCTTCGCGGAAGAAAGGTGAATAACGAAAAGACAAAAAGTGATCTACATTGTTAATGGATGTTAAGGTTAGCTCCGAGTTATTATTTTGATTTCGAGTAATATTATCCTAGCATCACTTACATTGTTAATGGATGTTAAGGTTAGCTCCGAGGTATTATTTTGATTTCGAGTAATATTATCCTAGCATCACTTAGATTCATACTAGCATGTTATCATCACTGTAGAACAATAAAGTTCAGAATAGGCAAGCCAACATATACCAAACAATGAAAAAATATATATTGCGAATTTCGCTGCAGCTGTTTCAAGATTTTAGCTGTGTCTGAAGATTTTAGGACTTGCACACACATTCTAATGAAAATGTATGCATACTGACCTCCAAGTTTCCAGATATAGGAGATGCATGCAAATGGCTGTGAAGCCATTTCCTAGTTTTCATATGTTGCAACCTAATAACAGTTCCACTTTTGATCGTGTCTCCTTGTTTTGCAGATGACTTTGGTGTAGTCCTTACAATCTGCAGAGTCATACAATTATTACCTTGCAAGAAATAAAAAAAAATGAAAAGAAAAAAAAAACATTTGAGTTAATTACATACCCAGTAGCTATTAGAATCATCAACCTCGGGGAAACCAGTAACCGACTGCTGCCCACTTCCAGAGCCATAAGGCACATCATGTGAGTGCAGCCGGAATTTTGTCTTCTCGTGCATCAACTTGATAACAGAACCATACGTAATCTACAAAACGATTGGAGGATGTAAGTATTAAACCCAATACCTTCTGCGAATTAGGTTAGTTACTCAATATATGAAACTGTAAATCGTTGTCGAAAAAACCGGCAGACTAATTATCACAAATCTTATCTAACATATCCACTGTCATTATAATATTTTCTCAAATAACCTTCATAAGGATTAGAACCTCCATGTGATTCCTTTTTTTGTTTTCAAACATTTACACAATCCAACACCATCTGCGCAACTGTTACGACTCATAGGAATTTTGTTTAGGTAACATTCTTTATTTTCCTCGTTGAAATAGGACTCGAGTTATTAGGTTTTGATAGGGTTTCATTACCTTTAAATAATTATCATTGGGTTAGTATTCATTAAGCAAAGAATTATTATCAAGAGATAGTATCAATCAACTCCTAAACTAAATTCACCTACATTGTATTACCCTTCCCATGTTTTTCAATAACCTAACTACTTCAATTGCAACACTCACTAAAAAGAACCAACACACAAATTGACACATAGATCCATTGAGGGAGAAATTCAACATTTTGTTATAAAATCACCCCCTCGTTTTTTGAAAATAAAGCAACCACATTCAGCAATTTGCACCACTAATAAATCGCCACCATTTCCACCCAATTACTATTCACCGAAAAGAAGAAAAGTCGGAGTCTTGCCTGAACGCCTTCGGAAGCGGCGGAAACAGGAGCCGAGGAAAAGTCGGAGTCGAGGGTCAGCAGCATAAATATTGCGAGGGCGAAAAAGGAAACCGCCATAGCTAGGAGCAGAGCTATGAACCACGTCCTCTGGAAAAACGGGAGGCTCGGATCCGAATCCGGAGAAGAGTTGGCGTACTCACTGTAAACAATTCGGGTGGGGCCCGATTTGGAGGTCGATGAGAATTCGGACGCAGGAGCTGATTTTCTCCGGGTGAGATTGCTCTGTTGCCTAGTCTGGCCGGAGGAAGCCACGGTTGGAGTCTCGGAACGGCGCCGGAGAGAGCTCCGATGAGAAATGCGATCGGATTGCTGTTCGTTTTTTTTGTTTTTTTTTTTTTTTTTTGTGAAATAAATTACGATTTAAATTTTCGACTTTGTTTGGTTGATTATAGGTTTTATTTGTTTTGGGATCTCAACGTGTGTGAAACGGCTACAACGAATTGGTTTCCTCCACGTGGAGATTTGTTGACGTGGATGATTTCTAGTGGATAGTTGGGCGTGTGCATTCAGCAACAAATTAAAATCAAATAATCATACTTCAAATGAAGTATAGATTAAAAGTTAAAACTAATCTTATAATATTTTTGGAAGTCCACGATACTGTACTTTGGAAATTGTATTCTCTTTCTTAAGTTTCGTTTACAGGTAGTTCATTACGCATTCGAAACGTATTTTTTAGAGAACTAACTGTAAGCGAAACTTCAAATTAAAAGGGGAACGCAGTATCAAAAGTATAGTACCAAGAACTAGTCTATAACATGAAATTAGACAAAAGAGATTTACGAGCTAAAACTGCAATAAATTATAGATTTATAAATTGCAAAATATTAAGCTAACAAAAACATTTGGTACATTATTTCCTCTAAAAATAGCTAGAGTTTGGGCCATTCTAATGGGCTTTGTTGGGCCAGGTGCCCAATTCGAATTTGAGTCATTCTTTTTTTTTTTGAGAAGAATTTGAGTCATTCTAATATCACCGCATCCATACATGTAGGGATGGAAATCGAACGGAGCGGATTAGAAATGATTTTTTCGAAAAAAAATTCAATTTTTTTTAGAAGTAAAAAATGAGTTCCAAATTTTCGTTCCAAAAATCGGGTTACAAAATCTCATTCCGATTTCGGAACGCCTCATAATCGGCGGAATTTCGGAAATTAAATTAGAAATTTTCGATTTCGAAAATTACATTCCGATTTCGAAAATTACATTAGGAAATTATTTAATGAAATTTTTCACAGTAATTTTATATCTTTTTTAAAATTTTGCAAGAAAAATCGAAAGCGAGTTCGACAAAAACGCAATAAATAAAACATTTATGAACAGCAAACTGACACATAGATTTTTTTATAGGAAAAAAATGCAACATAAAGTTTCTGATACCAATTAATACTTTCAAAAGTTTTAATTTACTTGACCATTCGTATTTATATTACATAAAATTGTATTACGAAATTACCAAATATATCATAGAATTATATTATATATTTCGAACAACCATAGAAATATTCAAAACTAAATTTGGATCGCAAACAGGAATTTCCGGTAATTTTATATACCATTCCAATTATGTTCCAAATAAATTTCGAAGAATCGAAAATCGGAATGAAAAATACGGTTCCGAATTCGGATATTTTCGGATTGGAATTGGCGAAATTCGGAAATTCCAGTCTGATTTCACCCCTCTATAAGTAGCACGAAACTTCAGTTTGTTAATATTTATCCGTTTCGGACACGTTTTGTGTCAGACACTCGAGGACACCAGCTGGACATCTTATGAACCATTTTGCTATTTGTAAAAAAATAGAAACATGTTTGAACACCACATTTACAAATTTTGTTATTGTTTTCCTTAATTATTAACATGATTTATTAGTCAATTGCAGATTCATAGTTGATACTAAAATTTATTTTGAATATAAAATAAGAAAAATAATTTATATATAAATAAAAACTTATGTATATATATATAACATATTTAAAAATAAGCCTCTATACTTTTAATATTAAATGTTTCTCCAATCTTCCGTACCCTCTTTTTTGGGACATTCAGTTTTTCCGTGTCCATGTCCCGTATCATTGTTTCCGTGGGTTCCTTCGACCCTACACCTGGTGAAAAACACCGGGTAGGTCTTCTGCTGCCACGTGTTCTTTTTTTTATTTTTCTAAAACCCCTAAAGGTAAACCCTAGCGGGAAATCTATTATAAAATACAAAAAAGAGACACATGGCAGCAGAAGACCCACTCGGTGTTTTTAACCGGATGTAGGGTCGAACAAATTGTTTCCGTGTGCGCGGTACATAAGTCCATCATATTCTCTTAAATTATTTTTATTTAACTTTTCAACTGTTTATTTATCACAATGTCACATCATAATTAAATTTATAAAGTATTTATTTTAGGGCCCTAATCTTTAAATAAATCTAAACTAATTATTCACTTAAAAAAATCTAAAATAAATTTATGAACGTAATATTGACTATTGAGATACCAAAATCAAAATTAAAAAGCAAGAAACGAGAAACAAAATTATCTTGGTGAAGAAGTTTAGAATACAATTGGAATTATTTTTTAATTAAATGTAGATTTTTTCAAAGCAATTAAATTTAAATAACTAAGCATAACAAAATTAAGTTGGATTATTATAATTTTTTATTTAATTTTTTTTGGAATAAAAGTTCATCGTCATATTTAAAAACTTCAAACACTCTCTCACAGAGGAAGGATTCAGCAGCTATGGGGCTGCAATCTTGTACCTTCAGAATTTCTCCCTTTTCAATTCTCAAACCCCTCTCCAATTTCCCGCCTGCTTTCAACCCTATCCCTTCTCGATTTCACCGTGTCCACGTCACCCGCCCGTTGACGTTCTTAGCCAGAGCACTTTCCTCCTCCGCCGCCGCCGCCGCTCCTCAAACCACCGCTACACCACCAGCCGCCTCGGAGACCACCGATGAGAGTAAAGGTATCATTTTCGCGTGGTTCTCCGTTTCAATTATTTGCAATTGTTCGAATGTTATTCTGAATTTTCGAATTCATTTTTTTGGGGTTTTTTTTAATAGGTACAAAGGCGCCTCAGTGGAGAGCGGCCATAGATTTCAAATGGATAAGGGATAACAAGGAGGCGGTTGCCGCCAACATCAACAACCGCAACTTCAATGCTAATCTCGACCTTGTCCTTGAGCTCTACGATAAATTATTGAATCTTCAGAAGGTCAGGTTCCACTTTTGCATTTCTAAATATATTCTTCTTTTAGTGGCGATTTCTTTGTCGAATCGTAAGAGATTATTAACTGCAGTCGACTAAAGAAACCGATTTGTTTCTCGCTAGTTGTAGCAGTGTCGAAACATGGGCATAAGTTTTCTGGAAAATGAGATTACATGATTACGTGTTCGAGTCCGTTTGAAGTTTAACAATGAGAAACTTATTAGACCATTGAGCCGAACATTAGAGCCAATGTGATGCTACCTTACGATGGCGTCGTGATCGATTAACTCAAACTCTGTTATTTTAATATTTTAAATGATTCTGATATGAGTAGGTTTCGCCTTTGCCCCTTTTTACTAACTGTACATCTAGTGCATTCGTCTCAGATTACTGTACAATAGATATTCGAAATAATTTAAAACTCGTGGAATGAAATTTTCGGAGGCTAGCTACGGTAACTAATTGTTTCTCACAGAGAGCAGGAAGTTGAAAGGCTTCGCGCAGAGAGAAATGCAGTTGCAAACAAGATGAAGGCAAAACTGGAGCCCTCTGAGCGCCAGAAACTAATCGAAGAAGGTATTATATATACATATATTGTATATATATGTCTTGAAAATTTGGTTTCAACTATTATCGTTATTTATTCTCGAAGTATCTTTATCCAGGTAAAACTCTCAAGGATGGTCTTGTCACATTGGAAGAAGATCTACTCAAGCTTACAGACGAGCTACAACAGCAAGCCCAATGTGTGCCAAATATGACACATCCAGATGTCCCAATAGGTGGAGAAGAGTGTTCTACTGTGAGAAAAACGGTAACTTTTCCTTTTTTCTTTGTACTCGAGATATTGCCTATTCTCCTTTTTTTATTCACTCACTTTTTTCACTTCGATTTATAGGTTGGTAAACCTCGTGAGTTTAGTTTCTCTATCAAGGATCATGTCCAGCTTGGAAAAGACTTGGATTTATTCGACTTTGATGCTGCTGCCGAGGTACTCTATTCTAATCAAATGTGCCCCGTTATATAGAAAAATCCTCGATTTATCTACTGAATCTGAAACATATTCACGCCTCTGTTTGTTATGTTCATTATAAAATAAAAAAAGAGAAGATCTCCACTGTGAAAACTCTTCAGTTTTAGGAAGTGTAGAACTCCAAATGCGACTATATACAACACATAAAACGATTGACAATTTACTGGCCTATGTTGTACTTCTATTCATGCAGCAGTTTGATCTTTTTGACAGGTAAGCGGGTCTAAGTTCTATTACCTGAAGAATGAAGCAGTTTTGTTAGAGATGGGACTCGTAAACTGGGCAGTATCAGAAGTTATGAAAAGGGGGTTTACACCCCTTACGACGCCAGAAATTGTCAGATCTTCTTTGGTCGAGAAATGTGGTTTTCAACCACGTGGAACTAATACTCAGGTTACTACCTCTCGGGAACATAATTTGCTTCTTTAAGTGATATTTACTTCTTTAATTTCTAATGCATTTTCTTGCAACCTATGTGATGAATGGCAGGTCTATTCCATTGAAGGTAGCGATCAATGCCTGATAGGTACCGCTGAGATTCCGGTCGGCGGAATACATATGGATTCAATACTTGCTGAGTCATCATTACCGTTGAAATATGTGGCTTACTCCCATTGCTTCCGCACCGAAGCTGGTGCTGCAGGCAGTGCAACTCGGTAAAGCTTTTTTGGCTTGTTCCAAAATTTAAATACTTTTCTGATGAAATTCTTAATTTAGACACGATTATTTCCTAGTAATAGTTTGACTCTTTTCTTGCATCTTCTAACTGATTGATGACAATCTTTGAGCAGGGGCCTGTACCGAGTTCACCAATTTAGCAAGGTGGAGATGTTCGTCTTATGCAGGCCGGATGAAAGTAACTTCTTCCACGAACAACTTATTGAAATTGAAGAAGGCCTGTTCTCGTCTCTGGGACTTCATTTTAAGTGCGTACCTAATTTTGCACTCGTCTGCATTTACATCCTCTTCTAATGTGTAAACACAAAGAAGAAAATAAAAAAAAAAAGGGAAAAGAAAGAGTGCTGCATAAAAAAACGCATTCTATTTTGATGAATATGCTGTGCACTTTGTTCTAAGATTTATCTATCTATGGTGCTATCTTTGCAGAACTATGGACATGGCGACACAGGATTTGGGCGCACCAGCTTATCGTAAATTCGACGTCGAGGCCTGGATGCCTGGATTGGGTCGTTATGGCGAGGTAAGGCAATTTTCCATTTCAAGTTCGATTTACTTTAAAAAAAAGAAAAAAAAAAAGTAATCTGTTCGAGTCTTGAAAAAAAGAAAAAGCACGAAGCGACACTTTAATTTGACCGATTCTTGAAAACTGGATTCTGTTTTGCTCGACAGATTTCAAGCGCCTCTAACTGCACAGACTATCAAAGCAGGCGATTAGGCATTCGATATCGTCCAGAAGTATCGACTCCGGCTAAAAAGGGTATTAAAGGAAATTCAGCTACGACTCAGTTCGTCCACACGCTGAATGCCACAGCTTGTGCAGTTCCGAGAATGATTGTGTGCTTGCTCGAGAATTACCAGCAAGAGGATGGCTCCATTGTTATACCTGAGCCATTGAGGCCTTTCATGGGTGGTCTCCAGATTATTGCTCCTAAATATAAACAGGCTTGAGTTTTAGTACTAATGAGGTTTATGCAATTTTTATTCCTTCACATTAACATTTTTTTGTGCTATTTATTTCTTTTACTATCTTCACATGTAGAATGCTAGGAATTTATAACCATCTTAATGAAGTTTTTATTATTTGGTGCAATTTGGACTTTTAGATTTCATAATCTTTTAGCCTTTGTGTTGGGGGGTTTTGGCCCATTAGTGCAATACAAAATTATATTGGCCCAATTATGTAAATTACGAAAAATCCCCTTTTGTGTTGGTAATTACAATCATTTCCTTACCTATGAATCTTCTTACACGTCATTCTTGTGGTGCCAAATTTAGTGGAATATCTTTTAGATTATAAGGAATATTCTCCCGTTTTACCCCATTCCATATGGTCATAAGATGTGTCTCTTGGCTTGTAATTATCAGATTGTGATGCACAAAAACTGCTTTCTTGTACAAAACAAGTACAAACTAGAGAACATTTTAAGAAACTTCTATTGAATTTTACACGATAAGAGTAGACTTGTAAGAAGATTTACAGTTAAAAGGTGATTGTAATTAGTAATTACTCAAATATGAGGGTTTTTTTCATAATTTAATCTTACATCAGGGAGTGGTCGTAATTTACCCTATTTTTATAAGACTTCACAAAAATATAATTTAATTGTTTAATAAAGATTAAAAAAAAAAAGAAATAGTAAGAGAATGAATACTCGGGAGAGCAAGAATCATTAATAACCAAACCAGTTACAACAATGGCAATGCACAATTTGAAATTGATAATATATACCACAAAACATTCCCTCCTTCACAAAACCCCAATGGAAAATCTCTTTCATTTTAATTTTCCTTCTTACAAGACTACGGTCAACAGATGGTATTAGCAATATCTTAGGTTACAGTGTTTAGATTTCCGTCATTAATCACATACCTATGATTTCCCCAGCAAAAAGGGAAAAAAATCGAGAATCCACGGATTTGAAATCCAGGAATTATCAAGAATTCATCAAATGGGGCAAAATCCGGGTGGTGGTTCAATAGGGTTTGTCCATGGATTACATTTTGCAAAAGATCCAGCTTTTACTCCACCCTTTATTACATCATCATCAGCATTAGCTGTATCCGAGGTTGCTTTTGTTCTGTTGTATTTATTTGAAATCGAACTGCATTTTTTTCTCTACAAAATTCTTGCAAAAAACTCTTGCTTTTTTTTCAAATTTTATTATCTGCGCCACCTTACATTCTTGAAAAGAAAAAATGGGTGCTTCTGCTAATGCTGATGTTGTGTTGAGAGAGATTGAAGATGAGTTGATTGTTGCCGGGACGAATCTTCTCAAGCTTCGCTTTTCTTCTTCCTGCGATGAAGTTATCGCCCGCCTTCTGGTATAAAACCCCCTTTCCTTTTGTGAATTTTCTCTCACAAACACAAACCTGTGTCTGTGTGTGTGTGTTTTGATTGAATGTGTTTGACATGTTTAAAATCTTGAATGGAGATGCAGTGATTTTCTTTTTCTACAAATGCTTGTTTAATGTGTGTGAGTGTGAAATTTTGATTTCGATAAACTATTATGCAAACCTCCTTTTTGCCTTTTTCGGGGGCTAACACACAGTGTGTGTGTGTGTGTGTTTTCCCCTCAAGTTTAGAGAATCTTGAATGGATATGCAGGGAATTGTTTCTGTAAATGCTTGTTTAATTTGTGAGGATTTTTCGCTTTCTATGAAGTTTCGATTTCATATCCATGTGTATTTCAATTCAAGAGATTTATTTATACATACACATGCCGATTCGCTTGTGTTTATCGCTCTCGTTTAGTTAAACATAGCCATTCTTCCTTTAGTATTTGGTGTATCGGTAAACGTCTGATTTGGTTGTGTGTCATAAAGAAAAAAAAAACACTCGAAACTGATGTGTGGATCAAGATCGAGTGATTCATTGACTGCATCTTTTCTTTGTGTTCGTCGTTACTTAATTAATTCAAAACTGGTTTCTCGAAATCGCGGCGATCGTTTTCATTGTTAATTGAACTTTCTTGAAATCAATGCATTTTAGAATATTTTTTTTTCCACTTAATTTTCTCGGTACTGTCGTTCTCGAGTGCAAATAAAATTAAGTGTTCCGTTTTGTTTGTTCTTTTCAGAGGGCAGAGGCAATTCTAAAGAGGGTAGGTCAAGTTAAAGGCTCTCCAATGCTGATGAAGAAAGCCCTCTTTCCAATAATGACAGCCCTCATCAAAGACAAACTCCTGAAGCATCGAGACGAAAATGTACAAGTTATAGTTGCTTCTTGCCTTAACCAGGCTACCAGAATAACCGCTCCACAACAACCTTACATGGATGATCAGATGAGGGTATATTCTCATCATCATCATCATGACATCATCATCACTCTTTTAAATCAAATTCTTATCTGTTGTGTTGTGCGGTTTCTTGTGACAGGATATGTTCGGGTTGTTCATGGTTGTGCTAAGGGGGCAGTTGTCACGTTTGACCGGTGACAACTATGATAGAGCTGTGAAGATTCTTCATTTTATGGGACTAGGGAGAACGGTCTTGATAATGATGGACTTGGATATCGATCAAATGATCGTCGACATGTTCCAATTTTTCTTCGACACAATTAGGTAATAATACGAGTAACATGTCGAAATTAATGTATTTTTTTTATTTTTTTTTGTGTAACGCTCCTATTAATATTTTTGTTGTTATTTTTTTATGGTAGTCCAAACTACCCTCCTGTTATCTTCCAATACATGGAAGATGTCATGACTTTGGTTATAGAAGAGAGCGACGAGGTTTCTCTCGAACTTCTGACGCCTCTATTAGACAGTGTCAGAATGGATAACAAGGTAATGATTCCCTAAAAAAACTATTAAATGAAATTATTACGTGTTCTTTTTATCTTTGTTTCTTACCGAATAAAATATTTTATGTCGTCTTTTTTTGCTTCAGAATGTTTCACCTGTGTCGTGGGAGTTGGGAAAAGCTGTTTTTGAAAAATGTTCGACGAAACTACAACCGTATTTAAAAGAAGCTGTGAAGAAAATGAACCTAGAAGTTAGCGACTATGCTGAAATAGTCGTTTCTTTATGCACCACCGAGAACATGGTTTGTCTTCTTACATGATTTTTTTTTCCTTCTTTATTTATTTTTTCTTTTGCTGAATGACCTGACATGAAATTTCAATTGCGTGTGTAGGATCTTCTATTCTATGAAAATCGAAGATGCTTAATTATTATATTACCATAGATAAGAGTGTGACTGAAGTTTTACAATCCGATTATTTCTTTTAGTATGTTGTTTTTTCTTGGCACTCGGGCATTTGATTAAGATGATAACTACATGGGCAATAATATCGGATGCGATATTATTGTTTTAATCGTTTTCTGACCACAATGTGCATAAATAATTCGAAAAAGTTTATATATACTAACAAAGAGCACTTGATTGTGTTTTCGAGAATTACATCAGCATACACCTTTATAGTTTGATTATTTATTTAGAGAGAACCCATCCGACAATTTTTATGATTTGTAATTCAAATTCTCTTACGAATGAGCATGATTCAATCTCTAGACGTTGAGTCTAATAGTCAAGACTAAGTATTCTAAACATTCCTTTTCTACTCTAAAACGAAAAAGTGTATTCATAGTTTATATATACTAACAAAGAACACTTGATTGATCATTTACTTAGAGAAAACCCATCCGACAATTTGAGTCTAGTAGTCAAGGCTAAGTTTTTTAAACATTCCTTTTTCTACTCTACTACGAGTCTCTTGAACATTAGAGTTAGGGTTAAATCGGTTTTGTTTCTCGATCGATACATGGAAATTGAAGTGAAACAAAAAAAATTAGTGGCACAAGTGATTCATATCATTGCTTGTATTTCATCAAGATTATATTAGCACGGGGATCGTGCCATTATTTTCTACTATATTACATGGAGACAAAAACCCGACTCTTAGGTTGTTCAAGAATAGCAGTCTTGAGTCTATTAAATCTCGGACTTGAGATTAGTTAGTTCGATTCTCAATCGGGACAAAGAAGTGAAAGCGAAAGTAAAATAAAGATTTGGTCGCAGTGATTCATATCCACATGGATGAACTAGGATTGGGAAAAAGAGGGATTATGGTTAATGAAACCGTCGTTGGAATTGAGATCTCAACCAAAGAGAAACATAGTAGGAAGGTTGAGAAGTTTAAACGTTTGATTTAATTTCCTTCTCTATAGCCATGAAGTAATCACGACTTCTTGTGTTAATGGATGGTCTTACTATATAATGGAGTTATATGATTAGATCCAAGGAATCGTATCGTTTTTCTTTTGAATTGTATATAATTATTTTGATTAGTCATTCATATTGATGAGGCGTCCATTAGAATCATCGTCGTCTAAATGAATCTATTAAAATAAGATAAATATACAACTAATGAAATACCATATCTAGAAGCCATTTACTTCACAATTTCGAAAAGGAACTAGTTAGGAATGGTAAAATGAGAACTTCGATGGAAGCTACGAGTTGACATCTAATTCTTTAAATTAAAAGATCGGAACTTTACCCACAATGGAAAACAAAAGTATTGGAACCTTCTACACATGTCGGAGTTTTACGGTTGGTTCGTATTACAACGCGATGTAACATGTTACATGCAATGCACCAAAACAAAGGCAAGCCCATAAAACAAAAGATAATCCTTCTCCACACTTTCTATAAGTAGAGAATAGAGATCAAAATTTTATATTTTGTCCGATAGGTAATGGTTTGATAAGCAATGAGTTGATGAGACAAACGAAAGATATCAATTTCAATCAAAATAATTGGAAGTTCAAATTAATGGAATACCATTTGAAAACGGTTCTTCTGCTTATAATGTGCAAAAATATTCCTAATGTTCTTGGACTCCAAGTGTTATGGTACGGGGGTTGTCATGTGTATATGTTGTCTTCCTTTTAAAGTCGTTATCAATAATAAAGTTTATCAAACGATATTTAATGCAAAAATTTTGAGCTATGATGCAATCAAACACTGCTTAGTTGATATTTTCATCTGGGGGTGTGCGTGCTACTTTCGTTTTGCTAATTCAAATTGAAAAGTGATATAAAATTATTATGTTTTTTTAATTTGTATAGTCTATCCGGTGAACCATCGGCTAAACATGTCATGGATTACACATGGAAATTGTTTAAATTACTACAAGAAGACAAATGTTTATGTTGCATATGGATGGAAACATTTGAACCTTAAGATTTCCATTCGAATAGTAACAAATTCATTGTACTTGTTTGAACGAATTCATTCTACTAAAGATGCAATCAAATCCTTAAGTTCTTAGTTCTTAAGGACTAAGTTATGATGCAATCAAATCCTTCCTCGTTGATGTCTCGATTGTGCTAGCGGAAGCTTTGGGAAAGTTGGAATACGAGATAAGTCACCTTGACGTGTGCTTACTACTTTCCTTTTGTTAATTCAAAATGGAAGGGAAATAAAGTCTTCAAGTTTATGAATTTGATCATCTATGGGTGAAATCCGTTCATGAATACATGTAAAAATCGGATAAAAGCGTTTAGGTTGTATTTGAAGGAAAATAGATTTCAAATTTAATAACAAATTTATGAACTTGTTTGAATGAATTCATTCTACAATGGGATTTCAAATCTTCAACTCTTGATTCGACAAGTTTTTGAGTTATGGGATCTAAAATACATTTTTTATGGAGTCATTTGTCGAGATTCATGTCAAATCTAAATCCTATAATTCATATGCAACCTTAGTGAATTGAAAATTTCTTCTACCAACCTACATGTTAGTTGACGAGTTTTTCGTAACTAGAAAGTGATGTGCATTTGCATGTTCATATGATTTTAGTAAACTATTTGTGTATTATTTGATAACTTAATCGTGATATTTATCACATCCTACCGAATTAGCCATAATTAATCTACATTTTAATTTAGTGGTGGGGGTGTAATAGGGATCACAAAAAGGTTCGTACGCTTTTCACGTATGATGCATAATTGATTAAAATTAGCATAAATATATTCAATAAAAGTTCTAACTCTACACATTATTCTAAACCTTCAAACTTGTCTATTTTTCACGAAGAGAAGAAAGGAAAATGTTGAAGAACACGACTTTCATGAGAAAGAAACAAAGAGAATGATATTAAAATGATGATACGGAGACGATGAGTGTAATATATTAAAACTGTTCATTGTCGTATCAATCTCATTTTTCATAATTAGTCCGTATTTTAACTTAGTGACATGGGTAAAATAGATATCGCAAAGAGGTTGAAAAATATAAAGTATTCATACTTTCGAAGGTAGGATAGATTTGTTACAAATTCATGCCGAAGATAAATATTTTTAGTAGCTTTGTATATCATATACTATTACTACTAAATACCTATGAGTTTGCCGAATAATTTTTTTTTTCATAGTTCTAACTGAGTTTCCAATTGTGAAATGCCATTTCTTGTTTATCTATGTATGTATACGTATTTGTAATATATATGGCTACATAGGAGTGTCTAAAGTCTCCAAATCTAAAAAAAGATTTGCTAGACTCCAAAAAGCGAAATTATTCATATATATTCAAGAAAGAAACTAAGTGCAGATAGTCTTCATAATTTTTACGCTTAAGTGTCCAAATCATTTATTAAGTTTTCTATGGTACACGCCGGCAGATAAAATTCATGCATGTGCGATTTTGCATTTGAATTAACATTGCATAACTCACTTTATTCGATAGTGTAGTGTAATATTAAGTAATAATAATGTAGCTCGGTAGTAGTTGCTCAAAATCCTCATGTTCAATTAAGCATCTGGATTCCGAACATCCTATTGTTCAAGTAGGGTTACTCGTGGTAGGCGTTAGAAATATTAGGTTACACGTGTTGCCTTAGGAGAGCGTAAATGGCTACGTTGATAATTATGTCGGTTTGATACGATATATAAGTAAATGATGGATTGAATATGTCCTAAATATGTGAATATGTACTTCTCTGACAGCATTAAAATACAAAAATTGTTTTAAATGCTATTGCTAAACACGACTAAATCTGAACGATTGTGGCCGTGGTAGATCCATTTGCATGCATGATGTACTCGGACGATTTATTTATTTATTTTAACGTGGCGTTTTTACCTAATAAATGGAGTTGTTCGTGATTTGCATGCTGGAGTATTTTCTTGCTAGAGTCATAATTGCCGTAGCGTATAATTTATTATATTAATAAATTACAAAGGATGTGTTTACGGCATTCTGTATTTTGCGTTGTTTTCCTGCTATTTTTGTTTGTCTAAATAGCAAAGAAATTTATATTCATAATCTTTCCTATTCTGAAACAGTTGGAAGAAAAAACAGCTTCAGCTCCTTCCGAGGCTGAGCAAGCGGGCCCCACTTCGCAAGTGAATGACGGAGAGGTTGTGCAGTTAGAGATGGATATAGGAGTTCATCGAAGGAGAAGGGCAAGAAAACCCAACTCTCTGATGAGGCCCGAAGAAGGCTACGAACATATTTGGAGAATTGGAGACGAGAATTCCTCTAAAGTATCTCGTGATTCTGCCGAGGAAGCAAATACGGGCAAAAGGGGTCGGTCTAAGGTGGTAAAGGAGAGGGGCTCGAAAAGCTATTAACGTAAATATTAAAACATCTTTTTTTAATTGAGATGCCAGCTCTAATAATTTAACTTGATTTACGTGCTTCGAATGCAGATGAACAGAGGGTCCAATGCTGAGTATGAGGACGAAATCGTAGATGCGAGGGTAAAGGTTTGGTGGCCTATGGACAAAGCGTAAGTACTTTGAATCATCTCTTTGCAATAATTTGTTTTCGTCGTCACATTTTTATTAGTTAATTCAATCATTTTTCTTGTTTTTTCATCAAACGAATCAACCTAAGCTGAGTTGGATTAACCCAAGCTGAGTTGTATACGACAGGTTTTATACCGGTACCGTTGAAGCTTTTGATCCTCTGTCGAAGAAGCATAAGGTGAACAAATTTTTCTCGTTTTTCGTTCTACTTGATACTATTTGATACTACTTGACTGCCTTTTATTGGCTTTATTATATTGCAGATTGTATATGACGACGACGAGGAAGAAGTTTTGAACCTCAGCGAAGAGAGATGGGAATTTTTCAAGGAGAGGCAGCCTCATCGAGTGAGATTTCTTCGTTAAAATATTTATTGTGACAATATTTCTCCTTTCCCGCGTTTTCTCGTCTCACGTTTCTGTGCATATATGACAATGTAGGTACAATCCGCGGAAAATCATGCGCCGGAGAGCCTGCCAAGTAAGTTTTGGTCAAAATCAACAATGTCGACTTTTTTCTGTGGATATTCTCTTCGACCAATTTTTCATACTCTCACGCCTATCGACAAAATTTCTTTTGATCGTACTACGACAATCTCGTCACTTTTGGTATATTTATGAGCTGTGATCAACTGGGAAAACGAGGGTGGAAAGTCTACGGCAGTTTATACAACCTTCTCTAATTATATGAACTTTGACAGGAACGAGAAAAAGAAAACGAAGAGAAAGGCTAGTTCGTCGAGGAAACGACTCGCTCCCTCATCACCGAGAAGGTTTTTTTCTTTCTCCTTCGGTTAATTATGAAGTGAGATATTTTTAAATCTTAGCAACTTATCTCGATTTCTCTGATTAAACAGGTGGAAAATGAACCAGAGGAAGAAGATGAAGAGATGCCTGAATTCTCGTTCAAGCATGGAAAAATCCGAGCTGGCAAGAAAATGTCGAAAAAATGAAGAAGATGAAGGAGCTTTAGCCTTTGAGACCTCCCAAGATGCAACAAAAGGTTACAAGAAATATTTTAAATAGCCAACTTTTTAGGTTCTACTTGAATCAAGAATTTTAAATTCATAAACTCGTTGAATTCGTTCCGGTGACTTCATCTCAAATAGATATTCAAATTCTTTAGTGGTTAATTCGACTAATGTTTGAGCTATTGCAATAGATTAATTATAATACATGTATACTGATTGATTTAAAAAATAAATCCCAAATTTTCTAATCAGAATTCAATATATATGTTAAATTCTAGTAATATTAACCATGTTCTTGCATTTTTTTCTTTTTTTTGTATCTATTCAGATATTCTTTCCCATTGCTTAACTAAGGAATATGATTTGGGTGGACCAGCTTCTCGTAAATTCGACGTGGACGCCTGGACTGGATTGGGTCGTTGTTGCGAGGTACGGTAATTTTTCATTTCAAGATCGATTTTTTTTTTTTTTAATTTAAAAAAAAAGAATTCAAATCCCGGTACAACGGATTTGAACCTCTTAGCTGTAGTAACTAATGTCATATACCAGCTCTTCTAACAAGTAATGATGGTCTCAAGTTTGATTTTATTTTATTACAATTGATTTTTTCCACGGCTTCTTGAAAACTACATTCAATTTTTTGCTCGACAGATTTCAGACGCCTCTAATTGCACGGACTATCGAGAATTACCAGCTAGAAGATGGCTCCATTGTTGTACCTTTTCAGATAATTGCCCCTAAAATATAAACAGGCTTGAGTTTAGAAGTTAGAACTAATTACATTTTCTTTTCATGAAATACAGATAGGAATTTGGTGCAATTTGTGCTATCAGCTTCCAAAATTTGTAGTCGTTTCATTTTCGATTTTGACTTTTGTAGTAAACCACAAAAAAATTGAAATAATTTAATTCAATTTTCCTTCTGACAAGACAACGGTCAATAGATAATAGCAATTTTCTATATTGTAATGTTTAGATTTCCCTCATTAATCACATACCTATCGTTTTCAAGCAAAATGGGAAAAAAATCCGAGCTTGAGAATATTCGGATTTGAACGAGAATATGCGGATTTGAAATGCAAGAATTAGCAATATTCGGATTTGAACGAGAATATGCGGATTTGAAATGCAAGAATTAGCGAAATTCGGATTTGAACAAGAATATGCGGATTTGAAATACAAGAATTAGCAAAATTCATTAGACGAGGCGAAGTCCGGGTGGTAGTATAAAACGGGGTTGTGCATGCAGGGCATTTTGCATAGAACACAGCTTTTACTAATACAGCATCGGTATTAGCTGTATTCGGTTTTGCTTTTTCATTTTTTGTTTTGTATATTTGAAATCGAACGGCATTTTTTCGACAGTCTTTTCGGAGGTGGAATTCTTGGAAATTTCGCCTTTTCTTTTTGTTTTTTGCTTTGTGTTGTGTTGTGTGTGTGTGTGTGTGTGTGTGTGTGTGTGTGTGTGTGTGTGTGTGTGTGTGTGTGTGTGTGTGTGTGTGTGTGTGTGTGTGTTGTTCTTGAAAGAATGGACGATCCTGCAAATGCTGATGATACCGAAGACGACTTATTAGTTGCTGCGAGAAATCTTCTCAGCCTTCGTTCTTCTTCCTCCATTGATGACCTTTTCGCCCGCCTTATGGTATAAAATCCCTTTTCCATATATTATTATTTTTTTTCATGAATGTTTTTCGCATGTTTAAAATCTTGAATGGGATATGCAGGGAATATTTAATGTGTGTGAAGTTTCGATTTTTACGATCACATTCATTCACACGCATGTTGATTCTCTTTTATTTGATCTCTCATATAGTTAAATGGAATTCTCCTTATTAATTTTGTATCTGGTGTATCGACAAATGTGAATCGATTGCTTAAAATTGGAAAATGTGGTAGGAGCAGCCATATATAACCAGATCCAATTAAGTGCAAACATAATTAAAAGTGTTCTGTTTTTTCTTTTTGGTTTTTTTCAGACGGCAGAGAGAATTCTAACGAGGGTATGGCAAGACTCTCCGATGCCGATAAAGAAAGCCCTCGTCCTGATAATGACTTTGGTGATAGATAGTGCCAGAATGGATAACAAGGTAATGATTCAAGATTTAAAAATATCATACAATATATGATTTAAAATTTAAAATTAATCTTTATTTCGGAATATATGCTTCAAATGCAGATGTCAAGAGGGTCGAGTGTTGATTATGGGGACGAAATGGTAAACATAAGGATAACGGTTTGGTGGCCAATGGACGATAAAACGTAATCTATTTTGTCGTCACATTTTCAATCAGTCCTTCAATCAATTTTCTTATTTTTTTTTTTCATATTCGATTTTTTTTTTTTTGTATTTAACAGATTTTACACCACTGGAGCTGTCTTTGAAGAATTTCTCCGTTTGACAAAGAAGCATAAGGTGAAAAAGATTCGTCCTTTATCTCATGCTACTCGTGTATTTTATGTATGTTACTATTTGACTTATTAAGCATAAGGTGAGATAATGTTGTTCTCTTGATTGCCTTTTATTGGCTTTATTATATTGCAGGTTGTATATGACGACGACGAGGAAGAAATATTGGACCTTAGCGAAGAGAGATGGGAATTTTTCAAGGAGAGGCTGCCTCAGCATGTGAGATTTCTTCGTTAAATATTTATTGTGACAATATTTCTTGTTTCCCGCATTTTCTCGTCTCACGTTTCTGTGCATTTATGACAATGTAGGTACAATCGTCTCACAATCAAGAAGAAGCTGCCACTCCATGTGCCGAAGATCCTGCCAAGTAAGTTTTTGTCAAAATCAACAATGTCGACTTTTTTCATACTCTCACGCCTATCGACAAAGTTGATAATCTCGTCACTTTTGGTATATTCTTGAGCTTTGATGAATTGGGAAAACGAGGGTCGGAAGTCTATGGCAGTTGATACAACCTTCTCTAATTTTACGAACTTTGACAGAAACGAGAAAAAGAAAACGAAGAGAAAGGCTAGTTCGTCGAGGAAACGACTCGCTCCCTCATCACCGAAAAGGTTTTTTTTTTTCATTATGAAATAAGGTATTTTTAAATCTTAGAAACTTATCTCGATTTCTCCGATTAAACAGTGAAGGCCATAGCCCTGTTCAGGTGGAAAATGAACCATCTGAAGAAGATGAAGAGATGCCTGAATTCTCGTTCAAGCATGGAAAAAGCCGAGCTGGCAAGAAAAAGTCGAAAACCATGAAAAAGAAAAGGGGGCCTTAGCCGTTGAAACCTCCCAAAATGCGACAAAAGGATAACGGTTTGGTGGCCGATGGATAAAACGTAATCTATTTTGTCGTCACATTTTCAATCAGTCATTCAATCGATTTTTTTTTTTTTTTTCTTTTTATTTTGATTTTCGAATTTTTGTGTATATAACAGATTTTACACCACCGGCGCTGTTGTTGAAGAATTTCCCCATTTGACAAAGAAGCACAAGGTGAAAAAGATTCGTCCTTTATCTCGTTCCACTCGCGTATTTTATGTACGTTACTATTTGACTTATTAAGCGTAAGGTGAGATAACGTTGTTCTCTCGATTGCCTTTATCATACTGCAGATTATATATGACGACAAAGAAGATGAAGATGAAGTATTGAACCTTAGAGAAGAAAGATGGGAACTGTTCAACGAGAGGCAGCCTCATCGAGTGAGATTTCTTCGTTAAATACGTATTAACCTCTCTCTAATTTTCAACTTTTCTATCATCTAAACTTTCTATGTATATGTGACAATGTAGATACAATCCTCTCGGAAACAAGAACATAAGTCCTGCAAAAGAGCCTGTAGGGTAAGTTTTTCTTTTTTTAAATCAATACTATATACTTTTGTTTATTGTTGACAGTCTCGTTTATCGACGCCTCTATTGATTTTTTTCCGACGAATTTTCATATCTTCTAAAGTTTTGGTATATTGAAATTGATATACAACCTTGTGAAATATTGTTTAAATCGAAGCAGTTTTTGTTTCTTTTGCTTTATAAACATCGGAAAAAGTTGGTTTTATTTAAGTGGGATTTCGAAAATCTCAGCAACTTTTTGATCCAATGCTTACGGATATTCTTTATCGATTTTTTCAGGTCAATAAGTGAAGGCCGTAGTCTCGTTAAATCTGGAGATACTATTCAAGTATGAGAAAAGCCGAGTTGGCAAGTGCCAAGAAAGTTGCGGGAACCACGGCGAGAACAGAAATAATATTTGTTTATATTTTGGGAGGAAACATAAAATAGTGTAGCAGTCAAATCATGTTTAAAGATGTTGGAAAAATTTAAAATTAATTAGAAGAATGTTGTATATATTGGGAGGGAAAATTAAAATAGTGTAGCAGTCAAATTATGCCTAAAAATGTTGTAAAAAAGTGTGTGTATATATTAAAGAGCAGACTTATTTGATTTCATTAAATTTTTAGGTTTATATTATATGCACCAACAAATCTATAGGTTAAGTTTTTGCCCTATTAAGACCCTTTGAAATGCTGTCAAAATTATGCTTCATATTCATCTTCTATTGTCAGATATTCGGATCATATAGTATAGGCTACCGTACCAGCAATTGCGGTCTACTGCTACTTTCAGTAAATTATATCGGTACGTGGTACTCTACCATTAATTTTAATTTGTTACACTTTAAATGATATAGATTTATAATAAGATGATCTTTATGAAAATACAATAAACAATTTTAATACTTTTAATTGAATACTGTCACTTTCAGCATGTTTAGGTAATTACAACCACCCTCAAATATGAATCTCCGTACACGTCCATCATTACCGTGTTAAATCTAGTGGAATCTTTTAGATTATGCGAAACATTCTTCAGTTTGTACTCGTTTTACCCAATTCCAACTCCATATTTTAAAACAAGATGATCATATGATGTGTCTCTTGACTTGTAAATATCATATTGTGGTGCATAAAAACAGTCTTTTTGCACAAACAATAAGCGTGGACGTCTAAGAAGATTCACAGTTGATGAGTGGTTGTAATTAGTAATTACCAAAACATGAGGGCTTTTTTTCCGTAAACCTTACATTAGGGAGTGGGGGTAATTTACTCTATTTTTTAAGACTTCACAAAAATATAATTTAATAGTTTAATAAAGATATAAAAAAGAAAAAGAAAAAAAAAAAGAAATAACAAGAGGTGAATATACTCTGGAGTCAGGAGAGAGGAATCATTAATAGATACAACAATGGCAATGCACCATGTGAAATTGATACTATATACCACACAAAACATTTCCTCCTTCACAAAATCACAACAAAAAATCTCTGTCATTTTAAATTTAATTCCCAACAAAAAATCACTGTCATTTTAAATTTAATTTTCTCTATTACAAGAGAAAGATCAATAGATAGTAGCAATATCCTAGGTTACAGTGTTAGATTTCCGTCATTAATCACATACCTATGATTTCCCCAGCGAAAAGGGCAAAAAATCCCATCTTTGAGAATCCACGGATTTGAAATCCAAGAATTATCAAGAATTCATCAAATGGGGCAAAATCCGGGTGGTGGTTCGAAAGGGTTTGTGCATGGATTACATTTTGCAAAAGATCCCGCTTTTACTACACCATTTATTACATCATCATCAGCATTAGCTGTATCCGAGGTTGCTTTTGTTCTGTTGTATTTATTTGAAATCAAACTGCATTTTTTCCTACAGAATTCCTGCAAAAAACTCTTGCTTTTTTCTTTTTTTTTTCAATTTTTATTATTTGCGCAACCTTATATTCTTGAAAAGAAAAAATGGCTGCTCTTGCTAATGTTGATGCTGTGTTGAGAGAGATTGAAGATGAGTTGATTGTTGCCGGGACGAATCTTCTCAAGCTTCGCTTCTCTTCGTCCTGCGATGAAGTTATCGCCCACCTTCTGGTATATAAAACCCCCTTTCCTTTTGTAGAATCTCTCTCACACACAGGCCCGTATGTGTGTGTGTGTGTTTTTTTTTTGGCTGAATGTGTTTCACATGTTTAAAATCTTGAATGGAGTGCAGAGATTTTTTTTTCTGCAAATGTTTGTTTAATGTGTGTGATGTTTCGATTTCGATAAACTATTAAGCAAACCTCTTTTTCGCCTTTTTCGGGGGCTCACACGCAGTGTGTATGTGTGTGTACGTGTTTTCGCCTCAAGTTTAAAGAATCTTGAATAGATATGCATGGAATTGTTTCTGTAAATGCTTGTTTAATTTGTGAGGAGTTTCGCTTTTCTATGAAGTTTCGATTTCATATCCATGTGTATTTCACGAGATCTATTCATACATACGCATGTCGATTCTCTTGTGTTTATCACTATCATTTAGTTAAACAGATCCATTTTTCCTTTCGTATTTGGTGTATCGGGTAAATGCCTGATTTGGTTTAGTGTCATTCATAAAGAGAAAAAAAAACACTCGAAACTCATGTGTGGATCAAGATCGAGTGATTCATTAACTGCATCTTTTCTTTGTGTTCTTCGTTAGTTAATTACTTCTAAAGGCTGCGGTTTTATCGTCTATAAAAACTGGTTTCTCGAAATCGCGGCGATCGTTTTCATTGTTAATTGAACTTTCTTGAAATTGATGCACTTTAGAATAAAAAAAATGTCCCACTTAATTTTCTCGGTACTGTCGTTCTCAAGTGCAAATAAAATTAAGTGTTCGGTTTTGTTTGTTCTTTTCAGAGGGCAGAGGCAATTCTAAAGAGGGTAGATCAAGTTAAAGACTCTCCAATACCGACGAAGAAAGCCCTCATTCCAATAATGACAGCCCTCATCAGAGACAAACTTCTGAAGCATCGAGACGAAAATATACAAGTTATAGTTGCTTCTTGCCTTAACCAGGCTACTAGAATAACCGCTCCACAACAACCCTACATGGATGATCAGATGAGGGTATATTCTTATCATCATCATCATCATCATGACATCATCATCACTCTTTTAAATCAAATTCTTATCTGTTGTGGTTTCTCGTGACAGGATATTTTCCGACTGTTCATGGTCGTGCTAAGGGGGCATTTATCACGTTTGACCGGTGACAACTATGATAGAGCTGTGAAAATTCTTCATTTTATGGGACTTGGGAGAACGGTCTTGATAATGATGGACTTGAATATTGATCAAATGATTGTCGACATGTTCCAATTTTTCTTCGACACAATTAGGTAATAATACGATTAACATGTCGAAATTAATGTATTTTTTTAAAATTTTTTTTTTTTGTGTAACGCTCCTATTAATATTTTTGTTGTTATATTTTTATGGTAGCCCAAACTACCCTCCTGTTATCTTCCAATACATGAAAGATGTCATGACTTTGGTTATAGAAGAGAGTGACGAGGTTTCTCTCGAACTTCTGACGCCTCTATTAGACAGTGTCAGAACGGATAACAAGGTAATGATTCTCTAAAAAAACTATGAAATGAAATTATTACGTGTCTTTTCTATCTTTGTTTCTTACCCAATAAAATATTTTATGTCGTCTTTTTTTGCTTCAGAATGTTTCACCTGTTTCGTGGGAGTTGGGAAAAGTTGTTTTTGAAAAATGTTCGACGAAACTACAACCGTATCTAAAAGAAGCTGTGAAGAAAATGAACCTGGAAGTTAACGACTATGCTGAAATAGTCTTTTCTTTATGCACCAACGAGAACATGGTTTGTCTTCTTACATGATTTTTTTTTCCTTCTTTGTTTAAATATTTTCTCTTGTGCCCGTCATTATATTTATAGTGGTCACAGATCAATTGCTGAATGACCTGCCATGAAATTTCAATTGCGTGTATAGGATCTTGTATTCTATGAAAATCGTAGATGCTTAATTATTATTTGGCCATAGATAAGAGTGTGACTTAAGTTTTACACTCTGATTGTTTCTTTAAGTATGTTTTTTTTTCTTGGCACTCGGTCATTTGATTAAGATGATAACTACATGGACAATAATATCGGATGCGATATTATTGTTTTAATCGTTTTCTGACAACAATGTGCATAAATAATTCGAAAAAGTTTATATATACTAACAAAGAGCACTTGATTGTGTTTTCGAGAATTACATAAGCATATACATTTATAGTTTGATCATTTATTTAGAGAGAACCCATCTCACAATTTTTATTCTTTGTAATTCAAATTCTCTTATGAATGAGAGAGTAGGGAATGTGCATGATTCAATCTCTAGACGTTGAGTCTAATAGTCAAGGCTAAGTATTCTAAACATTCTTTTTCTACTCTAAAAAACGAGTCTCTTGAACATTAGAGTTAGGGTTAAATCGGTTTTGTTTCTCGATCGGCACATGGAAATTGCAGTGAAACAAAAGAATTAGTGGCACAAGTGATTCATATCATTGCTTGTATTTCAATCAAGATTATATTAGCACGGGGACCGTGCCATTATTTTCTACGTTATTGCGTGGAGACAAAACCCGACCCTTAGGTTGTCCAAGAATAGTAGTCTTGAGCCTATTAAATCTCGGACTTGAGATTAGTTAGTTCAATTCTCAATCGGGACAAAGAAGTGAAAGCGAAAGTGAAATAAAGATTTGGTCGCAAGATTGATTCATATCAAGCGTTCCACATGGATGACTAGGATTGGAGAAAAAAGGGATTATGGTCTTCGGTATCTAATAAAACCCGTCGTTGGAATTGAGATCTCAACCAAAGAGAAACATAGTAGGGAGATTGAAAAGTTTAAATGTTTGATTTAATTCCTTCTCTATAGCCATGAACTGACCGTGAAATACTCTTACAATATAATGGAGTTATATGATTAGATCCAAGGAATCGTATACAATTATTTTGAATTGTATACGATTATTATGATTAGTCAATTATATCGTCGTTCATTAGAATCGTCGTCTTCTTAATGAATCTACTAAAATAAGATAAATACCATATATAGAAGCCATTTATTTCACAATTTAGAAAAAAAAAAAAAAAACTGGCTAGGAATGGTAAAATGAGAACTTCGATGGAAGCTACGAGTTGACTTCGAAAATGAACAACTACTGTAACGAGAAACTCTTATTCTTTAAATTAAAAGATCGGAACTTTACCCACAATGGCAAACAAAAGGATTGGAACATTCCACACATGTCAGACTTTTCCTATTGGTCCGTATACCAAGGCGATACAACATGTTACATGCAATGCACCAAAACAAGGCAATCCCACAAAACAAAAGATAATCCTTCTCCACACTTCCTATTAGTAGAGAATAGAGATTAAAATTTTATATTTTGTCCGATAGGAAATGGTTTGATAAGCAATGAGTTGATGAGACAACCGAAAGATATCAAATTTCAACCAAAATAATTGGAAGTTCAAATCAATGGAACCATTTGAAAACGGGTTTTCTGCTTATAACGAGCAAAATTTATTCCTAATTGGACTCCAAGTGTTGTACTGAGGTTGTCATGTGTATATGTTTGTCTTCTTTTTAAAGTCATTATCAATAATAAAGTTTATTAAAAGATATTTACTGCAAAAAATAAGAGCTATAATGCGATCAAACACTGCTTCGTTGATATTTCATCTTGCCGTGTACGTGCTACTTTCGTTTTGCTAATTCAAATTGAATTTGGATAGTCTATGCGATGGACCATCGGTTAAACATGTCATGGATTACACGTGGAAATCGTTTAAAATACGACAAGAAGAGAAATGTTTATGTTGCATATGGATGGAAACATCTAAGATTTCCATCCGAATAGTAACAAATTCATTGAACTTGTTTGAACGAATTCAATCTACTATGTGATTTCAAATGCGTAGTTCTTGACTTAAGTTATGATGTAATCAAATCCTTCCTTGTTAATATCTCGATTGTGATTGCGGAGGCTTTGGGAAAGTTGGAATATGAGATAAGTCATCTTGACGTGTGCTTACTACTTTCCTTTTGCTAATTCAAAATGGAAGGGATATAAAGTCTTCAACTTTACGAATTTGGATCTTCTATGGACGATACCCGATCATGAATAACATGTGAATCTCGGGTAGTTATATTTAGGTAAAAATACGAAAACAAATATAAGCGTTTAGTTTGTTTTCGAAGGAAAATACATTTCAAACTTTATAGCAAATTTATGAACTTTTTTGAATGAATTCATTGTACAATGGGATTTCTCATGTCAAATCTAAATCCTATAATTCATATGCAACCTCTCATGAATTGAAAATTTCTTCCACCAACATACATGTTAGTTGACGAGTTTTTCTTCAACAATAAGTGTCTAAGTGATGTACATTTGCATGCGCATATGATTTTAGTAAACTATTTGTAAATTATGTAAGAATTTGATCGTGATATTTATCACATCCTACCGAATTAACCATAATTAATCTATATTATAACTTAGTGGTGGGGGTGTAATAGGTATCACAAAAAGGTTCATACGCTTTTCACGTATGATGCATAATTGATTAAAATTAGCATAATATTTAATAGAAGTTCTAACTATATACATTATTCTAAACCTTCAAACTTGTCTATTTTTCACGAAAAGAAGAGAGGAAAATGTTGAAGCGCACGACTTTCATGAGAAAGAAACAAAGCGAATGATATTAAAATGACGATACGAAGACGATGAGTATAATATATTAAATCCGTTCGTTGTTATATCAATCTCATTTTTCATAATTAGTCCGTATTTTTTATAATATGTTAAATCCGTTCATTGTCGATGGGTAAAATAGATTTCGCAAAGAGGTTGAGAAATATAGAGTATTCATACTTTCGAGGAAGGATAGATTTGTTACAAATTCATACCGAAGATAATTTTTTCTAGTAGCTTTGTATACCATATATTATTACTACTAAATACCTATTGGTTCGCCGAATAATATTTTTTCATAGTTCTAACCGAGTTTCCAATTGTGAAATGCCATTTCTTAATTATCTATATATGTATACGTGTTTGTCATATATATGGTTACATAGGAGTGTTTAATGTCTCCAAGTCTAAAAAACGATTTGTTAGATTCCAAGAAGCGATTATTTTCATTTTTTCAAAGAAAGAAACTAATCTAGTAATGAATAGTCCCTATGTGTACACCTGCATTTGCTGAATAAGTGCAGATAGTCTTCATAATTTTTAGGCTTAGGTTGTACAAATCATTTATTAAGTTTTCTATGGTACACACCGGCGAATAAAAATTCATGCATGTGCGATTTGCATTTAAATTAACATTGCATAACTCACTTTATTCGATAGTGTAGTGTAATATTAAGTAATAATAATGTAGCTCGGTAGTAGTTGCCCAAAATCCTCATGTTCAATTAAGCATCTGGATTCCGAATATTTTATTGTTCAACTAGGTTACGCGTGGTAGGCGTTAGAAATATTAGGTTACACGTGGTGCCTTGGGAGCGTAAAGAGCTACGTTGATAAAGAGCTTCGAGTATAATGATATGATATATATAAGTAAATGATGGATTGAATATGTCCTAAATATGTGAATATGTACTTCTCTGACAGCATTAAAATACAAAAATTGTTTTAAATGCTATTGCTAAACACGACTAAATCTGAACGATTGTGGCCGTGGTAGATCCATTTGCATGCATGATGTACTCGGACGATTTATTTATTTATTTTAACGTGGCGTTTTTACCTAATAAATGGAGTTGTTCGTGATTTGCATGTTGGAGTATTTTCTTGCTAGAGTCATAATTGCCGTAGCGTATAATTTATTATATTAATAAATTACAAAGGATGTGTTTACGGCATTCTGTATTTTGCGTTGTTTTCCTGCTATTTTTGTTTGTCTAAATAGCAAAGAAATTTATATTCATAATCTTTCCTATTCTGAAACAGTTGGAAGAAGAAACAGCTGCAGCTCCTTCCGAGGCTGAGCAAGCGGGCCCCACTCCCCAAGTGAATGATGAGATGGATATAGGAGTTCATCAACATAGAAGGGGAAGAAAACCGAACTCTCTGATGAGGCCCGAAGAAGGGTACGAACATATTTGGAGAATTGGAGACGAGAATTCCTCTAAAGTTTCTCGTGATTCTGCCGAGGAACCAAATACGGGCAAAAGGGGTCGGTCTAAGGTGGTAAAGGAGAGGGGCTCGAAAAGCTTCAAGAAAACTACAGGATTGAGCACTGTAGAAATCGGGAACAAAATTAATTCCCAGAATCACGAGTCGAGGGATGATGTTGCGGACGAGGTAATCAAAATTATTATCGTAAATATTAAAACATCTTTTTTTTTAATTAGATGCCAGCTCTAATAATTTATCTTGATTTACGTGCTTCGAATGCAGATGAACAGAGGGTCCAATGCTGAGTATGGGGACGAAATCGTAAATGCGAGGGTAAAGGTTTGGTGGCCCATGGACAAAGCGTGAGTACTTTGAATCACCTCTTTGCAATAATTTGTTTCGTCGTCACATTTTTATTAGTTAATTCAATCATTTTTCTTGTTTTTTCATCAAATGAATCAATCTAAGCTGAGTTGGATTAACCTAAGCTGAGTTGTATACGACAGGTTTTATACCGGTACCGTTGAAGCTTTTGATCCTCTGTCGAAGAAGCACAAGGTGAAAATTGTTTTCTCGTTTTTCGTTCTACTTGATACATCTTGACTTATTAAGCATAAGGTGAGATAATGTTCTTATTGGCTTTATTATATTGCAGATTGTATATGACGACGACAAGGAAGAATATTGGACCTTAGTCTAGAGAGATGGGCATTTTTCAAGGAGAGGGGGCCGCATCAAGTGAGATTTCTTCGTTAAAATATTTATTGTGACAATATTTCTCCTTTCTCACGTTTTCTCGTCTCACATTTCCGTGCATATATGACAATGTAGATATAATCCTCGGAAAATCAAGAAGCTGGCGCTCCATGTGCCGAAGAGCGTGCCAAGTAAGTTTTAGTCAAAATCAACAATGTCGACTTTTTTCATACAAAGTTGATAATCTCATCACTTTTGGTATATTCTTGAGCTTTGATGAACTGGGAAAACGAGGGTAGAAAGTCTATGGCAGTTTATACAACCGTCTCTAATTATATGAACTTTTGACAGGATCGAGAAAAAGAAAGCTAAGAGAAAGTCTAGTTCATCGAGGAAACGACTCTCTCCCTCATCACCGAAAAGGTTTTCTTTTTTCCTTCGGTTAATTATGAAGTGAGATATTTTTAAATCTTAGCAACTTACCTCGATTTCTCTGATTAAACAGTGAAGATCGTAGCCCTGAAAATGAAGCAGACGAAAAAGATGAAGAGATGCCTGAATTCTCGTTCAAGCATGGAAAAAGCCGAGCTGGCACGAAAAAAGTCGAAAAAATGAAGATGGAGCCTTGGCCGTTGAGACCTCCCAAAATGCAACAAAAGGTTACGAAAAATACTTTAAATAGCCAACTTAATTTGATTTTATCCACTTTTAGGTTTTACTTGAATCAAGAATTTTAAATTCATACTCATTGAATTCGTTCCGGTGACTTCATCTCAAATAGATTTTAAAATTCTTTATTGGTTAATTCGACTAATCTTTGAGCTATTGCAATAGATTAATTATAATACATTTTATATGGACTGATTTTAAAAAAATCCCAATTTTTCTAATGAAAACTGAACATGTATATTAAATTCTAGTAATATTAACCATGTTCTTGCATCTCTTTTTTTTTTTTTTTTTTTTTTTAATCTATTCAGATATTATTTCCCATTGTTTAACTAAGGAATATGATTTGGGTGGACCAGCTTCTCGTAAATTCGACGTGGAGGCCTGGACTGGATTGGGTCGTTGTTGCGAGGTACGGTAATTTTTCATTTCAAGATCGATTTTTTTTTTTAATTTAGAAAAAAAGAATTCAAATTCCGTTACCAACGGGAACTAAAGGATGAGTAGGATTGGAGCTTCTGATCTTAGCTGTAGTAACTAAGGTCATATACCAGCTCTGCTAACAAGTGATGGACGATTGTCTCAAGTTTGAATTTTTGTTTATAACAATTAATTTTTTCTACCGTTTCTTGAAAACTGCATTTCGATTTTTTGCTCGACAGATTTCAGACGCCTCTAATTGCACGGACTATCGAGAATTACCAGCTAGAAGATCGCTCCATTGTTGTACCTATTCAGATAATTGCCCCTAAAATATAAACAGGCTTGAGTTTAGAAATTAGAACTAACTGCATTTTCTTTTCATGAAATACCGATAGGAATTTGGTGCAATTTGGGCTATCAGCTTCCAAATTTTGTAGTCGTTTCATTTTCGATTTTGACTTTTATAGTAAACCACAAAAAATTGAACTAATTTAATTCAATTTTCCTTCTGACAAGACAACGGTCGATAGATAGTAGCAATTTTCTATATTATAATGTTTAGATTTCCCTCATTAATCACATACCTATCATTTTCAAGCAAAAAGGGTAAAAAATCCGAGCTTGAGAATATTCGGATTTGAACGAGAATATGCGGATTTGAAGTACAAGAATTAGCAATATTCGGATTTGAACGATAATATGCGGATTTGAAATACAAGAATTAGCAAAATTCATTAGACAAGGCGAAGTCCGGGTGGTAGTATAAAATGGGGTTGTGCATGCAGGACATTTTGCACAGAACACAGCTTTTACTCCACGGCTGAATACAGCATCACTAATAGCTGTATCCGGTTTTTGCTTTTCCGGCATTTTTTCGACAGTCTTTTCAGAGGTGGAATTCTTGGAAATTTCGCCTTTTTCTTTTTCTTTTCGCTTTGTGTGTGTGTGTTCTTGTTCTTGAAAGAATGGACGATCCTGCAAATGCTGATGATACCGAAGACGACTTATTAGTTGCTGCGAGAAATCTTCTCAGCCTTCGTTCTTCTTCCTCCATTGATGACCTTTTCGCCCGCCCTATGGTATAAAATCCCTTTTATAATCTTGAATGTTTTTTTTCATGAATGTTTTTTTTCCATCGCTTTATTTTTTTTCATGAATGTTTTTCGCATGTTTAAAATCTTGAATGGGGTATGCAGGGAATATTTTAATGTGTGTTAAAGTTTCGATTTTTACGATCACATTCATTCACACGCATGTTGATTCTCTTGTGTTTGATCTCTCATATAATTAAATGGAATTCTCCTTTTTAATTTTGTATTTGGTGTTTCGAATCGATTGCTTAGGCAGCCATATATAACCAGATCCAATTAAGTGCAAATAAAATTAAAAATGTTCTGTTTCTTTTTGGTTCTTTTCAGACGGCAGAGCGAATTCTAACGAGGGTATGGCAAGACTCTCCGATGCCTATGAAGAAAGCCATTGTCCCGGTTATGACAGCACCCATAAAAGACAAGCTATTAAAACATCCCCACGAAAATATCCAAGTTATCGTTGCTTCTTCCCTTAATCAGGCTACTCGAATAACCGCTCCAGTTCAACCGTATTTGGATCACCAAATGAAGGTAAATTCTTATCATCATCATCATCATCATCATCATCATCATCATCATGACATCATCGTCACTCGTTTTAAATCAAATTAACCTGATATTGTTTCTTGTGACAGGATGTTTTCCGACTGTTCATGGTTGTACTAAGGCAGTTTTTCTTCGACGCCATTAGGTAAAAAGTCTCTACAAGAATACAAGTCCCTTTGTTTCACTAATTTGTCGGGAATTAATGTAATTAATATTTTCGTTTAATTTTATTATAGACCAAATCACTCTGTTGCTATCTTCAAATACATGGTAGCTGTACTGACTTTGGTGATCGGTAGTATCAGAATGAATAACAAGGTAATGATTCAAGATTTATAATATTATATAATAGTTATTTAAAATTTAAAATTAATAATTATTTCGGAATATGTTTTTCAATTTCAAATGCACATGTCAATGTTGATTATGGGGACGAATGGTAAACGTAAGGATAACGGTTTGGTGGCCGATGGATAAAACGTAATCTATTTTGTCGTCACATTTTCAATCAGTCATTCAATCGATTTTTTTTTTCATGTTTGAGTTTTTCTTTGTCTAAATAGCGACGAAATTTATATTCATAATCTTTCCTATTGTGAATCAGTTGGAAGAAGAAACTACAACAGCTGCAGTTCTTTCTGGTGATGGAATATCCAAATTAGACGGAGCTTCCGAGGCTGAGCAAGCAGGCCCCACTCCTCAAGTAAATGATGAGATGGATATAGGAGTTCATCAACATAGAAGGGGAAGAAAACCGAACTCTTTGATGAGGCCGGAAGAAGGCTACGAACATATTTGGACAATCGGAGAAGAGAATTCCTCTAAAGTATCTCGTGATTCTGTCGAGGAAGCAAATACGGGCAAACGGGGTCGGTCCAAGGTGGTAAAGGAGAGGGGTTCGAAAAGCTTTAAGAAAACTGCAGGATTGAGTACTGCAGAGAAGGGAGAAGGCAGCCATAGATGTACTGCTTCGGTAGGAAAAGATAAGTTGTCGCTTCAAGAACCTGACGGGAGGAAAGAAATCGGGAACGAAATTAATTCCCAGAATCACGAGTCGAGGGATGATGTTGCCTCATCGAGTGAGATTTCTTCGTTAAATACGTATTTACCTCTCTCTAATTTTCAACATTCTTATCATCTAAACTTTCTATGTATATGTGACCATGTAGATACAATCCTCTCGGAAACAAGAACATAAGTCCTGCAAAAGAGCCTGTAGGGTAAGTTTTTTTTTTTTTTTTAAATCAATACTATATACTTTTGTTTATTGTTGACAAAGTCTCGTTTATCGACGCCTCTATTGATTTTTTTCCGACGAATTTTCATATCTTCTAAAGTTTTGGTATATTGAAATTCATATACAACCTTGTGAAATATTGTTTAAATCCAAGCAATTTTTGTTTCTTCTGCTTTATAAACAACGGAAAAAGTTGGTTTTATTTAAGTGGGATTTCGAAAATCTCAGCAACTTTTTGATCCAATGCTTACGGATATTCTTTCTCGATTTTTTCAGGTCAATAAGTGAAGGCCGTAGTCTCGTTAAATCTTGAGATACTATTCAAGTACGAGAAAAGCCGAGTTGGCAAGTGCCAAGAAAGTTGCGGGAACCACGGCGAGAACATAAATAATATTTGTTTATATTTTCGGAGGAAACATAAACTAGTGTAGCAGCCAAATCATGTTTAAAGATGTTGGAAATATTTAATTAATTAGAAGAATGCTGTATATATTGGGATGGAAAATTAAAATAGTATAGCAGTCAAATTATGCCTAAAAATGTTGTAAAAAAGTGTGTATATATATTAAAGAGCAGACTTATTTGATTTCATTAATTTTTTAGGTTTATATTATATGCACCAACAAATCTATAGGTTAAGTTTTGGACCTATTAAGACCCTTTGAAATGCTGTCAACATTATGCTTCATATTTATCTTCTATTGTCAGATATTCGGATCAATACTGTGTACCTATTGAATCATATAGTATTGAAAATTTTATACTGTTACCGTACCAGCAATTGCGATCTACTGTTACTTTCAGTATATTATAGCGGTACGTGGTACTCTACCATTAATTTTAATTTGTTACACTTTAAACGATATAGATTAATAATAAGACGATCTCTATGAAAATACAATAAACAATTTTAACACTTTTAATTCAATACCGTTACTTGTATGTTTAGGTAATTACAATGACCCTCAAATATGAATCTCTGTACACGTCTATTATTACCGTGTTAAATCCAGTGGAATCTTCTAGATTATGCGAAATATTCTTCAGTTTGTACTCGTTTTACCCAATTCCAACTCCACATTTCGAAACAAGATGATTATATGATGTGTCTCTTGACTTGTAATATCATATTGTGGTGCATAAAAACCGTCTTTTTCCACAAACAATAAGGGTGAACGTGTAAGAAGATTCACAGTTGATGGGTGGTTGTAATTAGTAATTACCAAAATATGAGGGTTTTTTTCGTAAACCTTACATTAGGGAGTGATGGTAATCTACTCTATTTTTTAAGACATCACAAAAATATAATTTAATAGTTTAATAAAAATTTAAAAAAGACAAAAGAAAAAAAAGAAATAGCAAGAGGTGAATATACTCGGGAGTCACGAAACCAAGAATCATTAATAGGTACAACAATGGCAATGCACAATGGCAATCTACCACAAAATATTCCCTCCTTCTCAAAACCCTAACAAAAAATCTCTTTCATTTTAAATTTAATTTTCCTGCTTACAAGACAACGGTGAATAGATAGTATTAGCAATATCCTAGGTTACAGTATTTAGATTTCCCTCATTAATCACATACCTATGATTTCCCCAGCAAAAAGGGGAAAAAATCCCATCTTTGAGAATCCACGGATTTGAAATCCAAGAATTATCAAGAATTCATCAAATGGGGCAAAATCGGGGTGGTGGTTCAAGAGGGTTTGTGCATGGATTACAATTTGCAAAAGATCCCGCTTTTACTCCACCCTTTATTACATCATCATCAGCATTAGCTGTATCCGAGGTTACTTTTGTTCTGTTGTATTTATTTGAAATCCAACTGCATTTTTTTCTCTACTGAATTCCTGCAAAAAACTCTTGCTTTTTTTTTTCAATTTTTATTATCTGCGTCACCTTACATTCTTGAAAAGAAAAAATGGCTGCTTCTGCTAATGTTGATACTGCGTTGAGAGAGATTGAAGATGAGTTGATTGTTGCTGGGACGAATCTTCTCAAGCTTCGTTTCTCTTCTTCCTGCGATGAAGTTATCGCCCGCCTTCTGGTATAAAACTCCCTTATCCTTTTGTGGACTCTGTCTCACACCCCGTGTGTGTGTGTGTGTGTGTGTGTGTGTGTGTGTGTGTGTGTGTGTGTGTGTGTGTGTGTGTGTGTGTGTGTGTGTGTGTGTGTGTGTTTGATTGAATGTATTTTACATGTTTAAAATCTTGAATGGAGATGCAGGGAATTTTTTTTCTGCGAATGCTTGTTTAATGTGTGTGAAGTTTCGATTTCGATAAATTATTAAGCAAACCCCCTTATCCTTTTCGCCTTTTTTGGGGGCTCACACGCAGTGTGTGTGTTTTCGCCTTAAGTTTAAAGAATCTTGAATAGATATGCAGGGAATTGTTTCTGTAAATGCTTGTTTAATTTGTGAGGAGTTTTCGCTTTCTATGACGTTTCGATTTCATATTCATGTGTATTTCAATTCAAGAGATCTATTCATACATACACATGCCGATTCGCTTGTGTTTATCGCTCTCGTTTAGTTAAACAGATCCGTTTTCCCTTTCGTATTTGGTGTATCGGTAAATGCCTGATTTGGTATAGTGTCATTCATAAAGAAAAAAAAACTCGAAACTGATGTGTGGATCAAGATCGAGTGATTCATTAACTGCATCTTTTATTTGTGTTCTTCGTTAGCTAATTACTTCAAAGGCTGCGATTTTATCGTCTATAAAAACTAGTTTTTCGAAATCGCGGCGATCGTTTTCATTGTTAATTGAACTTTCTTGAAATTGATGCATTTTAGAATAATTTTTTTCCCACTTAATCTTCTCGGTACTGTCGTTCTCGAGTGCAAATAAAATTAAGTGTTCTGTTTTGTTTGTTCTCTTCAGAGGGCAGAGACAATTCTAAAGAGAGTAGGTCAAGTTAAAGACTCTCCAATGCCGATGAAGAAAGCCCTCTTTCCAATAATAACAGCCCTCACATCAAAGACAAACTCCTAAAGCATCGAGACGAAATGTACAAGTTATAGTTGCTTCTTGCCTTAACCAGGCTACTCGAATAACCGCTCCACAACAACCCTACAGGGATGATCAGATGAGGGTATATTCTTATCATAATTATGACATCATCATCACTCTTTTAAATCAAATTCTTATATGTTGTGCGGTTTCTTGTGATAGGATATGTTTGGGTTGTTCATGGTTGTGCTAAGGGGGCAGTTGTCACGTTTGACCGGTGACAACTACGATAGAGCTGTGAAGATTCTTCATTTCATGGGACTAGGGAGAACGGTCTTGATAATGATGGACTTGGATATCAATCAAATGATCGTCGACATGTTCCAATTTTTCTTCGACACAATTAGGTAATAACATTAGTAACATGTCAGAATTACTGTATTTTTTTTTTATTTTTTTTTTGGTGTAACGCTCCTATTAATATTTTTATTGTTATTTTTTTATGGTAGTCCAAACTACCCTCCTGTTATCTTCCAATACATGGAAGATGTCATGACTTTGGTTATAGAAGAGAGTGACGAGGTTTCTCTCGAACTTCTGACGCCTCTATTAGACAGTGTCAGAACGGATAACAAGGTAATGATTCCCTAAAAAACCTATGAAATGAAATTATTACGTGTTCTTTTTATCTTTGTTTCTTACCGAATAAAATATTTTATGTCGTCTTTTTTTGCTTCAGAATGTTTCACCTGTTTCGTTCGTGGGAGTTGGGCAAAGCTGTTTTTGAAAAATGTTCGACGAAACTACAACCGTATCTAAAAGATGCTGTGAAGAAAATGAACCTGGAAGTTAGCGACTATGCTGAAATAGTCGTTTCTTTATGCACCACCGAGAACATGGTTTGTCTTCTTACATGATTTTTTTTTCCTTCTTTATTTTTTTTTTCTTTTGTGCCCGTCATTATATTTATACTGGTCAGAGATCAATTGCTGAATGACCTGGCATGAAATTTCAATTGCGTGTGTAGGATCTTCTATTCTATGAAAATCGAAGATGCTTAATTATTATACTACCATAGATAAGAGTGTGACTGAAGTTTTACAATCCGATTATTTCTTTTAGTATGTTGTTTTTTCTTGGCACTTTGGCGTTTGATTAAGATGATGACTACATGGAAACTAATATCGAATGAGATATTATTGTTTTAGTCATTTTCTGAGCACAATGTGCTTAAATAATTCGAAAAAGTGTATTCATAGTTTAGATATATATACTAACAAAGAACACTTGATTGATCATTTACTTAGAGAAAATCCACCCAACAATTTGAGTCTAATAGTCAAGGCTAAGTTTTTTAAACATTCTTTTTTCTACTCTACTACGAGTCTCTTGAACATCAAAGTTAGGGTTAAATCGATTTTGTTTCTCGATCGGCTCATGGAAATTGAAGTGAAACAAAAAAAATTAGTGGCACAAGTGATTCATATCATTGCTTGTATTTCATCAAGATTATATTAGCACGGGGATCGTGCCATTATTTTCTACTATATTACATGGAGACAAAAACCCGACTCTTAGGTTGTTCAAGAATAGTAGTCTTGAGTCTATTAAATCTCGGACTTGAGATTGGTTAGTTCGATTCTCAATCGGGACATAGAAATGAAAGTGAAATAAAGATTTGGTCGCAAGATTGATTCATATCAAGCGTTCCACATGGATTAACTAGGATTGGAGAAAAGAGGGATTATGGTCTTAAGTATCTAATAAAATTGTCGTTGGAATTGAGATCTCAACCAAAGAGACACATAGTAGTGAGATTGAGAAGTTTAATTCCTTCGCTATAGCCATGAAGTAACCGTACTTCTAGTGTTAATGGATGCTCTTACTATATAATGGAGTTATATGATTAGATCCAAGGAATCGTATCGTTTTTTATTGAATTGTATATAATTATTTTGATTAGTCATCCGTATTGATGAGTCGTTCAGTAGAATCATCGTCGTCTAAATGAATCTACTAAAATAAGATAAATATACAACTAATGAAATGCCATATCTAGAAGCCATTTACTTCACAATTTAGAAAAAAAACTTGTTAGGAATGGTAAAATGAAAATTTCGATGGAAGCTACGAGTTGACATTCAAAAGGAACAACTATACTAATTTAGAATAAGATCGGAACCTTACCCACAATGGAAAACAAAAGGATTGGAACCTTCTACACGTGTCGGACTTTTCCCGTTGGTTCGTATTCCAACGCGATATAACATATTACATGCAATGCACCAAAACCAAGGCAAGGCCACAAAACAAAAGATAATCCTTCTCCCCACTTCCTATAAGTAGAGAATAGAGATTAAAATTTTATATTTTGTCCGATAGGAAATGTTTTGATAAGCAATGAGTTGATGAGACAACCGAAAGATCAAATTTCAACCAAAATAATTGGAATTTCTAATCAATGGAACCATTTGAAAATGTTTTTTCTGCTTATAATGAGCAAAAATTATTCCTAATGTCTTGGACTCCAAGTGTTATCGTACGGAGGTTGTCATGTATATATGTTGTCTTCTTTTTAAAGTCATTATCAATAATAAAGTTTATCAAAAGATATTTAATGCAAAAAAATAATGCTATGATGCAATCAAACACTGTTTCGTTGATATTTCATCTTGGGGTGTGCGCGCTACTTTCGTTTTGCTAATTCAGATTGAAAAGTGATATAATTTCATTACGTTTTTGAATTTGGAATAGTCTATCCAATGAACCATCGGCTGAACATGTCATGGATTACACGTGGAAATCGTTTAAAATACGACAAGAAGAGAAATATTTATGTTGCATATGAATGGAAACATTTTGAACCTTAAGATTTCCATTCGAATAGTAACAAATTCATTGAACTTGTTCGAATAATTCATTCTACTATGGGATTTCAAATGCTTAGTTCTAGACTTAAGTTATGATGCAATAAAATCCTTCCTCGTTGATGTCTCGATTGTGCTAGCGGAAGCTTTGGAAAAGTTGGAATAAGTCATCTTGACGTGCGCTTACGACTTTCCTGTTGCTAATTCCAAATGAAAGGGATATAAAGTCTTCAAGGTTACGGATTTGATCATCTATGGGTGAAACCCGGTCATGAATACATGTAAAAATCGGGTAGTTAGGTAAAAATACGACAACAAATATAAGCGTTTAGGTTGTATTTGAAGGAAAATAGATTTCAAATTTAATAACAAATTTATGAACTTGTTTGAATGATTTCATTCTACAATGGGATTTCAAATCTTCAACTTTTCATTCGATAAGTTTTTGAGTTATGGGATCTAAAATACACTTTTTATGGAGTCATTTGACGAGATTCTCATGTCAAATCTAAATCCTACATTCATATACAACCTTAGTGAATTGAATTTTTTTCTACCAACATTCTATGTTAGTTGACGAGTTTTTCGTAACTAGAAAGTGATGTGCATTTCAATGTTCATATGATTTTAGTAAACTATTTGTATATTATTTTATAATTTGATCGTGATATTTATCACATCCTACCTAATTAACTATAATGAATCTACATTTTAATTTAGTGGTGGGGGTGTAATAGGCATCACAAAAAGGTTTATACGCTTTTTACGTATGTTGCATAATTGATTAAATTAGCATAAATATATTTAATAAAATTCGAGCTCTACACATTATTCTAAACCTTCAAACTTGTCTATTTTTCACGAAGAGAAGAGAGGAAAATGTTGAAGCGCACGACTTTCATAAGAAATAAACAAAGAAAATGATGTTAAAATGATGATATGAAGAAGATGAGTATAATATATTAAATCCGTTCATTGTCGTATCAATCTCATTTTTCATAATTAGTCCACATATTAACTTAGTGACATGGGTAAAATAGATATCGCAAAGAGGTTGAGAAATATAAAGTATTCATACTTTTGAAGGTAGGATAGATTTGTTACAAATTCTTACCGAAGATAATTTTTTTTAGTAGCTTTGTATATCATATATTATTACTACTTATTACCTATGAGTTCTCCGAATAATATTTTTTTCATAGTTCTAACCGAGTTTCCAATTGTGAAATGCCATTTCTTAATTATCTATACATGTATACGTATTTGTCATATGTATGGTTACATAGGAGTGTCTAAAGTCTCCAAGTCTAGAAAACGATGGCATTTTTGATTTGTTAGATTCCAAGAAGCGAAATTATTTTAATTTTGTCAAAGAAAGAAACTAATGATTATCAATTAAGCTAATTTAGTAATGAATAGTCCCTATGTGTACACTTGCATTTGCTGAATAAGTGCAGATAGTCTTCATAATTTCCACGCTTAGGTTGTACATTGAACCAACGGGAAGAAGAAGTGTCCAAATCATTAATTAAGTTTTCTTTGGTACACGCCAGCAGATAAAATTCATGCATGTACGATTTGCGTTTAAATTAACATTGCATAACTCACTTTATTTGATAGTGTAGTGTAATATTTAGTACTAATAATCTAATTCGGTCGTAGTTGCTCAAAATCCTCATATTCATTTTTTAGCATCTGGATTCCGAATATCCTATTGTTCAACTAGGGTACACGTGGTAGGCGTTAGAAATATTAGGTTACACGTAGTGCCTTAGGAGAGCGTAAAGGGTTACGTTGATAATTATGTCGGTTTGGTCGAGTGTAAGGATACGATATATATAAGTAAATGATGGAGTGAATATGTCCTAAACATGTGAAGTTGATGATTTAACATGGCGTTTGTACCTAATAAATGGAGTTGATGATTTGCACGTTGGAGTATTTTCTTGCTAGATTCATAATTGTTGTAGCGTATAGTTTATTATATTAATAAATTACAAAGGATGTGTTTACGGCATTCCGTATTTTGCGTTGTTTTCCTGCTATTTTTGTTTGTCTAAATAGCAAAAAAAATTATATTCATAATCTTTCCTATTCTGAAACAGTTGGAAGAAGAAACAGCTGAAGCTCCTTCCGAGGCTGAGCAAGCGGGCCCCACTTCGCAAGTGAATGACGGAGAGGTTGTGCAGATAGAGATGGATATAGGAGTTCATCGAAGGAGAAGGGCAAGAAAACCTAACTCTCTGATGAGGCCCGAAGAAGCCTATGAACATATTTGGACAATTGGAGACGAGAATTCCTCTAAAGTTTCTCGTGATTATGTCGAGGAAGCAAATACGGGCAAAAGAGGTCGGTCTAAGGTGGTAAAGGAGAGGGCTCGAAAAGCTTTAGGAAAACTACAGGATTGAGTACTGCAGAGAAGGGAGAAGGCAGCCACAGCTGTACTGTTTCGGCAGAAAAAGATAAGTTGTCACTTCAAGAACCTGACGTGGGGAAAGAAATCGGGAACGAAATTAATTCCCAGAATCACGAGTCAAGGGATGATGTTGGCTCATCGAGTGAGATTTCTTCGTTAAATACGTATTAACCACTCTCTAATTTTCAACTTTTTTATCATCTAAACTTTCTATGTATATGTGACAATGTAGATACAATCCACTCGGAAACAAGAACACAAGTCCTGCAAAAGAGCCTGTAGGGTAAGTTTTTTTTTTCTTTAAATCAATACTATATACTTTTGTTTATTGTTGACAAAGTCTCGTTTATCGACGCCTCAATTGATTTTTTTTCCGACGAATTTTCATATCTTCTAAAGTTTTGGTATATTGAAATTCATATACAACCTTGTGAAATATTGTTTAAATCGAACCAATTTTTGTTTCTTTTGCTTTATAAACATCGGAAAAAGTTGGTTTTATTTAAGTGGGATTTTGAAAATCTCAGCAACTTTTTGATCCAATGCTTACGGATATTCTTTCTCGATTTTTTGAGGTCAATAAGTGAAGGCCGTAGTCTCGTTAAATCTCGAGATACTATTCAAGTACGAGAAAAGCCGAGTTAGCAAGTGCCAAGAAAGTTGCGGGAACCACGGCGAGAACAGAAATAATATTTGTTTATATTTTGGGAGGAAACATAAAATAGTGTAGCAGTCAAATTATGTTTAAAGGTGTTATAAAAAAATTTAATTGATTAGAAGAATGTTTTATATATTGGGATGAAAAAAAAAATAGTGTAGGAGTCAAATTATGGCTAAGAGTATTGTAAAAAAATGTGTATATATATTAAAAAGCAGACTTATTTGATTTCATCCAATTTTTAGGTTTAAATTATATGCACCCACAAATCTATAGGTTAATTGTTGGCCCTATTAAGACCCCTTGAAATGCTTTTAACATTATGCTTCATATTCATCTACTATTACCTGATAGTTGGTCAATGCTGTGTACCTACTGAATTCGTATAGTATTGAAAATTTTATATTGTTACCGTACCAGCAATTGCGGTCTATCGTTACTTTCGGTATATTATATCGGTATGTGGTATTTTACCATTAATTTTAATTTGTTACTGTAGCAACAAATTCTTATCTGCAATTTAGACAAACAAGAAAAACTTGCACAAAGATAATTTTATTGAATTAAAAATAAATATTGCGGGTTACAAACTCTAATTTAATCCTCTGATTATTCTCTCAAGAACAATATGTGTTTGACTTTGAATTTCGGAGACGGGTCGTTGACTTGATCTTCTCCGGATTTGATTTGGATTTGAATAACGTCTTCCGAGGGTCTTGCGACTTGAATCTCGGATCAAAACGCTGAACTTTGACAGGTTTTGACTTGAAGATCTTAAAGTTCTTGATGGATTTGACCCTTCAATCTTCCTTCGATCTTGATTTGTTGAAGAACGCCCTCGATTTGATGAAGAACGCCTTGAATTTGATGAAGAACGACTTGAATATTGTAGAGAGAATTTTCTCCTACGGTTTTTCTTCTTGAGTTCTCTTTTGAATTGTGTAGGGAGGGTCCCTATTTATAGTGGTGGAATAAGAGTCCTACTTAAAGTCTACTTGATGACGTGGCGCGATTTGATTGGCTCTCTTTAAATTGATATTTATCTCTTATAACTTGGAAGAGAAGAAATAATCCTATTGGCCAATAATTAATTGATCATTATCTCCATAACTTATTTTGTAGGATAAATTATAATTTAATTTAGACACAATTTAATTGGCTAATTTAATTAACCAATTAATTAATTTTATGAGTCTACAAATGCCCCCTCGAGACTTATTCACGGAGAATGCATCTTGGAGTGGATGAGTCTCGATAATTGCTCAACTTCGATTGCAGCTTGATCTAGCAAAGCACATATATCTTTTGAAATCATGACTGGACTTAGAGAGATTCTAAGTTGCCTACGTACCCTATAAAGGAATCAAGTCATAACGTAGTTCAAAATATATCCTTTTGAGGGATGTCATGCACAGTTTACACTCATGTGGACAAGGAGAAATATATGTTGTTTAAACTCATGCTGAATGAGCATTTGACTTGAATTTGTAGATAGTTTACGCTCGTATCAAGGAGCCTTGACTTGATTTGGATATGTAGATATTTTATGCTCGTATCAAGGAGCCTTGACTTGATTTGGATATGTAGATAGTTTATGCTCGTATCACGGAGCCTTGACTTGATTTGTATATGTAGATAGTTTATGCTCGTATCAGGGAGCCTTGATTTGATTTGGATATATAGATAGTTTATGCTCAAACCAAGGAGCCTTGATTTGATTTGAACTTGTAGACATTTTAAACTCGTGTTAAGGAGGGCTTCACTTGATTTGGATCTGTAGACCTTTTAAACTCGTGTAAGGAGTACTTCATTTGAACTTGA